GGAGACATTTTTAAAAGTAAGAAGACACCTCAAAATTAACACATTCATTTACAAAAAAAACAATTTGATAGCTTTTGAAAGCTGTATATGACACATTCAAGTATGGGAGGATTCAACAAAACTGTCACTGTCATTCTCTATAGGCTATGGATGGACCATAGCAACCTTAGTTCTTTATACAGGAAAAATATTGAAAATTGCAATGTTTTTTAAAAAAAATTCATATTTTTCACAAAAATAAATATATCAAGGTGAACCAAAAACAAAACTATTAAAAATAGATGTGACTTGATAATTAAAACTTAATTTAGAACAATATACGGTTTTGCCACTCTACAGAGTGTCTTAAACTTATGGTAAAAAACATGTTTTTGTTTAAACCTTTATATTATAAACGTACGTGTATTTTTTAGTAATTTTTAAAATGTGAGCGATTCTCCATTAATGTATCTACAATATTCTTTAATATTTGTTTAAATCCGAAAGTTATTTGCGATTGAAATTCATCGAAAATTTGTGTGGATCGATTATTTTGCCTGTGAGGCAAAGACAAGATTTATGAAATTATATAAGTTTAATAAGGTTTTATAAAATCGCCATTTAGTTTACTAGTTTTATAATGGTCATATAAGGATAATGTATACTGTATAAACTCTAATTATATAATTAGGTTATATCATTGTATACAAACATTTTATATAACCTTTAGTAACCGTTACCAGTAGGTTTATAAAGGAGTTTTGTGCTTAATAAACCAAAAATGTTTAGTAATTGAAACAGAAACGCAATGCTTTTTCATAATTTTAATTAAAAATTTGTTGAAAAGAAAATATCTAGCGTAGAATATATAAATAATATTATATTATTAACATAAATATTTAAAAAGTGGATTAAATCGAATGTTGAGTGAAATAAATTGATTCCATTGCGTTAAAATCATTATTACTGGCAGAAATGGCGAACCTCTCAAAACTATCAAAAGTTTTATAGCACCACTTGTAGTAGGAAGTTATATAGTGGTTTCCATAATACTCCTGTTATCTCTAATTATAAAACTTGGGTTTTATAGTGTTACTAAAATAGGAACCGATAAAATAAAATCCCCAAATAAGCTCTTTAAGGGGTATATAAGAGTGATATAATGCTTTCAGCTAAACATGGCGGAATTAAAACTGCCGTTTCAATGTAGCAAGTAAGTAAGAAGTTGGGCTTTGTTGCCCATGGTATCGGTTGTGTATTTCCTATTTCCCGTTTCCGGAAAGTTGGCGAGCGAGCTTTCGAACAAATAAAACTTATGTTTTGTGTTGAACATTGGCTATGTGCAACAAACAACAAAGCTGCGGATTAATTAAGGCGACGCAAGTTTTCTTATTGTTTCGTTGGGATCAAAAGGTACGAGAGGTGGTCACGTGGCCCGGCAGTCTTTTGTTAGTTAACGATAACACGCCAATCAGTTTTAAGCAGGTTACAAGTTTTTTCCTTTGTGTTATTATGAAAGAGAGTAAATGAAAAAAGTTGTCAGCTAATTGTAAATGTCGAATTTTTAACATCCTATAAGATAAATTTGTGATAAAAACTCACACCTTCGCAAAATGAACAATTTTTGTTTTTGCCAAACATCCACATTTATTATAATCTACATGCAATTTAGTAACAAGATATGTTGGTTCATTCAGCTTTTTTTAGGTGTAATAACATTGAAATATAAGATGGAGTTGCGAAATTTACCTGCACACATACACGCTTCCCGCAGAAATATGTCGTATACAGTCGAGTATGTGTTGTTTCAGATTAAGATACCTCTATAGTATAGTATGTACACTACATTTTACTGGCTATAAGGAGAAATATTTGTTCAGGAATTTGGTCATTCGAATAAATGCAAAAGTAGAACGCACAAAAACTGGAACTTTGCATTTTTTTTAATACAAGCTCCCAATAAACATATTTTATTACTTATGGTAACGATAAGTTATATAACGGTTGTATGAAGTTATATAAAGAAAGTTAAAGTATAACAAAGTTTCATAAAATCACCATTTAGTTTACGAGTTTTATAATGGTCATTTAAGATTCTTATTCTTATTTCAAGAAAAACTATCATATTACTTTAAATGCAAGCACCCTCAAATAAAATATACACTATGGTAAAGTGTAAGGTAAAGAGTGGATTATCCTACCTATTTTTCTCTATCAGTCTTAGAAGAAAAGAGATAGCATAATGCACTCTTTACCTTTTGAAATAAACATGGTCATTATATCCTAACCTTTAAAGTCGAACAAAAGTTAAAAAAAGAATAGACAATATTTGAAACAATTATTGATTAACTTAACCTGAAAAAAATTATATTGGCCTATAGGATTGTCTTTATTACATAACTTTTTTACAATGTTTTCAATACCTATCTACGTATATACTGTAATATTTTTTTCAAACCTTCAGACAATAATTATGTCCTACACATACATTTGATGGTTAATTCTATCAAATTCCACTAAACTTCATAACTAACACAAGAAACAATCTTTCAAAATGTCGGACAGTTTCGTGAGTGGGGGATATTTTTAAGAATAAGCCAGTCGTACCAATATTTACTAATCTTAGAATAAATATAATTTTTTTATATTCAGTATAGTTTTATATCTTTAAGAATAGAATAGAGGGAATTTTCCAAAATTTGATCTAATTGATTGTTAATCTTAAATTAAGAATAAGTCATCTACAGTCTTTCTTAACATTTAACAGGATAAGATCTGCTTGTTTAAAGAAAGATTAATATTTAGTTTAATGTTAGTTTTAGCCTTGACAATATTAGGTCAATCATTTTTTCGAGTAGGTATATAATTAGGAGCGTAGTTTTATAAAAAGTTATATAGTGGTTTCTAAATATTTCTGTAACCTTCAAACTCCTCACATAAGCACTTTAAGGGGTTTATAAAAGTTATATAAATATTTATGTAACCAAATTAGTAAATTTATGTTTTAAAATGTGGCTGTTGTTACTTTGACAAAATTATGGTTGGTCGGACTTAATTAAGAGTAGGCGCATGCTTCTTAAAGAAACATAACCAAAAAATTGCTGTCTACCCTGCAGCAAAATAGCTGTTGACCAGTATTATTAATTACATAATCATAATAAACCGCCTCGAATCTGGTCTTTAAACATAAATAATTAACGAAATTTTTAAGTCTACATTTGGATCGTGACTAGGTTTTAGAAATTTTGCCGAAAGCTTATTACAGTATTCTTATAAAAATTAACCGTCATTTTTAATACGACTTTCTCTCCAAAACCCAGGCTTATTATTAGGCAATTTAGACAAAAAGAAAAAATAAATAAAACTGATTGGATCGTTATTGTTATCTAACCAATTATTCTTTCTGTAATGATTTATATAGTCAAAAATTGTTTTTTGAAAAAAATATGAACAACTTTAGAAAATAAATTTTGCTAATACCTACGTGGGTAATTTTCTGTATGGGCATCTTAAAGTACATTTTGTTTTAAAAAGGAAATATTATTATCATAAATGAAATGCGATTATTTTTGTAAAATATTGTTTTATTTCATAAAAAGTACCTAAATACGAGGTTTTTTGAAACAAATATTTATTTATTCGTTTACATTAACGTTGTCGCCTTCAAAATAGTCCTCATTGGATATTATGCACATGTGCCAGCTCTTCTTCCAATACTCGAAACACTTCTAAAACTCGATCTTTGGGATAGCCTTTAGTTCTTTCAGCGATGCGCTTTTAATGTCATGTATGCTTGCAAAACGACGGCCCTTTAAGGTTCTCTTTATTTTTGGGAATAGGAAAAAGTCAGGCAGAGGCATGTCTGGCGAATATGGAGGCTAGGGCATCATTACAGTATTGTTTTTGGCCAAAAATTTTGTTCAAAATTTAACAATTTTAGAACAAATTTTGCTGCCACGCGTTTCATACCCAAAACATTCGAAAAAATTTCATGGGATGAGCCAATCGATATACCTACATCATCAGCGACTTCTCTGATGGTTTATAACCATTTCTTCCACTTTTTCCATGTTTTTATAGGTTGTTATTGTGCTTGTGCGTTCGGGGCGTTCGTCATCTTCAACGTCTTCACGGCCATCTTGGAAACTCTTATACCACTTGTAAACTCTTGTTTTACTTATAGCAGACTCCCTATAGGCCTTTGTTAAAATTTCACAGAATTTATTTCATTTTTTAAGCAAAATTGGATACAAATTCTTTGATCCATTTCTTATAACGAACGAAAAATCGCCGAGCTCATAAAACACGTCTAACCTTAGCGGCTGCCACAGACAAAGTAAACAATGAAAACAGCTAAAGTTTTTGTCATACTTCGGGGGCATGTATACCAACATAATAAAGAAAATTTTATGACAACCGGACCCTCTGAACCCGCGAAGTTTAACAATTCCCGTTATTTTCTTAACACACCTCGTATATAGTTCTATAAAAAAATATTAATTAGGTGAATAACCTTTAATAAATAATCGTTATTCAATTACACAATTTTAAAATGGTATTTTACATCAAGCAGGATACGAAAAACACCAAGACGTGTCACACGATAAAAACTGGGTTTTGAAGGAAATACATACGTCGGATAAATTCGGTGACTCAAGGTCAGCTTTATTTCGAAAATCACACGAAAAAATAGCCACGAAATCCGATACCGCGCTAAATTAGTACACTTCTATAGAATCAAATTTATCATTATCAACATAAATTTAGTACGAACGACACTCCAATTTGAGATACAAATTACGCTGATACCGTGTTCTGCGAAACATTATGTCCAATGACATATATCAAAGAGTTTATCACCATATGTACAAAAAATCAACACTAATACATGATGATGGTGAGGTTTTTTGTTTATTTGACAATTTATTTTGAATTTGATATTGTTTTGAAAGCAAACAGATCAATATTTTTTTAATATTTTGGAAAAGAATATTTTTTCAACTGTTTTTCTTTTGTTCTAGGGTTGGAACGAATCGCTGAAGAGTTGATGGGCCGAAGGAAATGGAAACTCTACCAAGACGTGTCCATGCAAAGAAGTTATCTACAACCGTTAAACAACAACAAAGTGATAAACCGATCTACACAGAAGAACAATCTTGTTGCTTCGCTGCAACAAGACCAACAAGAAAATTTTACGGTAAGCGGCCATAGTAAGTCTTTTTTATCAACCTGTTAATAGTTAGGTAGATATTAGATACAGTACCAATGTATAAATAACTTGAAACTAATATCTTCTATATACGATTCTCCAATATTTTTTGAATAAAATAATTGGTTTTATTTTTTAAATTTATTTATTTCGTTTTAATATTCTGCAAACACTGCCCTGCATGAGGATTAGCGGCCGTTGCTGCTAATACATTAATTTCATTATTTCCACCTGTGACTGTTGCTCGACGAACTCTTTTTTCGGTTGAACACTCCCGTTTGTAGTAAACTGCTTGACTGTACGGTGAAATGAAGTACGTGATCGATTTTTTTCCGGAAAAGGCTGAGCGTAGATATTAACAGCATCATCAAGATTCCTGCCTGCTTCTCCATAAATCAAAATCATTTCTATTTTTTCTTCCTCTGTTAAAAAATCCATTACGAATAACTGCTTAACGAAATGAGGTCTTTTTGTTTGCTAATTAATCTTCGAACTAAATTGATTAAATAATGCTAAACTATAAAAAGTTTCTTTATACCTCAACAATAATTATTATTTATAACTAAATACCATTTTTTATACCTCCATTAGGATTAAATTTAATTGACAAAATAATGTTTTTTTTTTCTTAAATATATTTTTTATTAAAAATAGTACAATAATCCTTTAATTTAAAGGATTAAATGCTGGCAGGTAAAAAGTGACCATGGTGCGCAATTGATAATTATCACCTAATGAAATAATGTATAAAACTTAAACCAAAGAAAACTTAAATATTAGTTAAAAAATCGTGGGTACTTAAAAACATCAGATTTAATTTAATAAGATAATTATTACCAAAAAAAAGTGATATTTTTATAGAATAATTATTGCAGAATCGTATAAGAAGAAAAATCGAACAAAATTGAATCGAATCATTTAATTTTTATTTTAAACATTTTATCCTAAAATGTTTAATAACTGAGATATTTCAAAGTTTTAAGTTAAATGACTAACCCAGTATATAATTAGGGTGGGTCAAAAAAACCGACTATTTTTTTTTTTACTTTGTACTTTGAAAAATCGGTTACTAGACAACTCTAGAGAATTCTCACCATACATGAGCTCTTAATTTTGATAACAAGGTCCTCCGCTTTACAATTTACCATTTTTTCCTCAGTATTAGAAACAAAAATTTATATCTTTTCGACTACTGTTCGTTAAAAAATAATTATTGTAGGAAATCGAACGCTCTACAAAAAAGGTCTCTTACAATTTTTTCGTAAACCTCACCGTTAAAAAGATATCGAAGGTTAAACTTTAATTATTTTAAGAGAAATTTCTGTTTTGCTTATGACTCGCTTATAAAAAATTTATATGAATCGCGCAACTCATAGTTTTGTAGGAATTTAACTGCTCTACAAAAATGGTCTCTTATGATTTGTCGATTAAACTAAGTGTTTAAAAGATATTCATCGTCAAACTTCAATGCATACTAATTTTAACAGTTTTTGATGAATAATTCGTTTAATTTAATTAGTTTTAAGAAAATTTATACAAATTCGAGTTTCTATCGTAAAAGTAACTCTTATAAAAGTTTCCCTTTCGAAAATTTATTTGAGAATTTTTTATTTTAATAATATTTTCATGAAATTTATCTTTATAATAACTTAAAATCATAAGCAATTGAAAGTTGTTAATGATTCGGCAGAGCTGTTGCATTAGTCGATGATTATAACCAATGCTTAACAAAAAATGAAGAGCAATTTCAATATTTATTGCAAGTTATAAAAGAACATCGCAAACAATACCCAAATTGTAATAAACTTTTTACAGTCAAAGTGTACGATTATACATTATGTATTATAAATGTTAAAATTTTTATTTCAGTTGATAAAATTAAATAAAGAAACTTTTTAATAACAAATAGAAATTTTTTTTTTCTTCAGGATCAATTCTTTTCATATTAAATTTATGACAAAAACTTTATTTTTTTCAATATTTAATAAATCATTGACTCTGAGTTAGAAATAATGCACTATTTTTCATTTCAATATAACCAAACATATGTAGGACTAAAAAAAACGAGAAAAATAGTTTCTCTTTTCATAGAAACTCAAATTTGTATAAATTTTCGTAAAACTCAAAAATTAAATTGAAATTTTTCGAATAATTTATCAAAAACTGTTAAAATTAGTATGCATTGAAGTTTGACGATGAATATCTTTTATACGCGTAATTTAATCGACAAATCATAAGAGACCATTTTTGTAGAGCACATAATTTCATACAAAACTATGAGTTGCGCGATTCATAAAAATTTTTTGTAAGCGAGTTATAAAATTCATAAGCAAAACAGAAATTTCTCTTAAAATACTTAAACTTTAACCTTCGATATCTTTTTAACGGTGAGGTTTACGAAAAAATTGAGCGTTTGATTTCCTACAAGAATATGAGGAGAGTTATTATTTAACGAACAGTTGCCGAAGAGATATAAATTTTTGTTTCTAATACTGAGGAAAAAATGGAAAATTGTTGTTATCAAAATTAAGAGCTCATGTTTCGTGAGAATTCTCTAGAGGTGTCTAGTAACCGATTTTTCAGAGTACAAAGTAAAAAAAATAGTCGGTTTTGACCCACCCTAATATATATATATATATATATATATATATATATATATATATAGGGACGAGAAAGTAGGCTAGCCTTGCAAAACACCCCCAAATGGCTTGGCAGAAAAAATATACCACCACATTTCCTCTTTTAGACTGGAAAAACATCCCTGTACCACTCTCTAAAAATGAAAGAGTCAAAATTCTACTATTTGAATTAGTACCAGCATTTTTTACTAATAAAATAGTCGTTTTCACTTTTAAATAGTTATTTTTTACTACGTAAATAGTCACCATATTTGACTATTTCTGAAAGTTAAAAGTAACTAATTAGTAACAACAAAGTATTATTTGAATTAAATGCATATACCTAAGCTCCATGGTTAAATGACCCATAAAAACAAATAAAGATGCAAACAGTTTAGCTCAAAACAGCAACACAAATAATATATTCAACTTTAAACAATATTTATTGACAAATAAAATTGATTTTTATAAGAGAGACTGATAGCCGAATGGGTTATGACAACAGCTTGACAAGTGACAGACCTGAGTTCAATCCCTGGCTGGGTCAAAACTTTTTTTAAATTTAAATCTACTAATTTGACTATATCATTCAGTAGAATTTGACCAATTTTTTTCTAGTGTTAACCGTAGATGCTGTAGACATGCAAACTGAAATGTTTCAAAAAAAAAACCGTTTCTCATTTGTTTCAGAAAAAGGCTGCGGAGAAGGAGGACTTGAAAGTCGAGGAATCGTTGGCTGGGACAGGGACAGGGACGGAGACCGAGGAGGACACGAGGGGCAGTGCGAAGGAGAACGGCACCTCGGCCTCTGGAGGCGGCGAGGCAGGAGAGGCGGCGAAGGAGGAGAACGGCGACCGGAAGGTCGGCTCGCGGTCCAAGCTCATCGAAGAGCTCGAGGACGAGTTTTCCATCAGAGACTGGAGACCGGAACCGTGTCACTTTTGCGCTGACGGCAAGCTGGATAGTGAACACAACTCGCACGGGGTAAGACGACCATATTTTCAACGGTTTTTTCGAAAATACAGTGTGTATTAAAACGAATAGATACACTTAAATAAAACAAGTGCCAAACCCCGCCCACTGTGGTATGGATTGAGAATTTATAGGTTTTATTTTTATCGAATTCGTTTGTTTTGTTTTAATGCATTTCTGCAAATAAAAACTAAGTATTGTTTAAAATCCATTAAATTCCAGTTATTAATGGCGAACATGTATTTCTTAAAAACTATACACATTTCCCTACGACAGCGTCGGAGCTACTGAACAAACACAGTAGATCAAACTGCATGCCCTTGTATCTGGCTGCATGCCGCGCTGTTGCCATATGCTATTATTGTTTCCTAAAAGGGTTGTTTTTCTTATTTTTTAATATTAAGAATAAGAAAATTAACTAAATTAAATTATTTTTGACATATTATTTATTTTTTTGTTATTTTTAAAGTTTCAAACAAATAAAATTGAACTATTTATTAAATAATTATAATCGTTCTCTTCTGATTTAAAACAACCTGGCAACTATGGTTTGTAATTACTAATGGCTTGGTTTAAACCACGCCCAATTAAAGTTTGTTTATTTTTCTCTGATCAGAATATAATTTGTCATCCTTGTCTCCAGCCTTACATACTGGATTCTATACAGTCTGTATATTGATATCTCATTTGAGTTTTTCAAACTAATAAACAGCTACTTGTTGCCTGTTTGGCAAATCCGGCCCTGGCGGTACGAATTATCGCAAATCTGTATCACCATTTAATTTTTTATGTCACTTTTTCCTGTCACAGTGTTGTTTTAAGACGGTTTATAAAATAATTGTACTCTTTAGTGTAACACTGTATATCCGTTGTGGTTGGTGTAAAGCCGACAAAAGACAAAGGCGTGGCGCGCTCAAAGCATGCCGCTCTTTAGGCGCGTGCCGAAAGCAAATTCGTTTCCGTTTTTATGTCAAGGGTATAAATTTATTTCAGATGAAATTAATCATTAGTTAATAACTACTATAGAGAGGCGATTTGAAAAAAAACGGTGCGTTTTTTTTGTTTTTTTTTCAGGTTTTTTTTCATTGTTTTTTTTCAAATGGTTTTTTTTCACATTTTAGGTATTTTCAAGATTAGTCCCATTTGCCTAATTTTTTATGTTTCCATGGACTAAAATTAGCCACTAAATGACATTTAGTAAATGTAAATAAGTCTCGCGCTTGTTTTGATTTGGTCCTAAAAAAGTAACTACATATAATATTTTTGATTCAGCGCTTGATTTTTCAAAAAGCTACCAAAACACTTTTCTCATGATTTTTCAAATTTATGTATGTATGAGTATGGAATTTTTTTTTTCAAAATACAATAGCAAATTCTTGTAGAAAGTTTATTCATTGGACATTGAACATTCCGTGGACCAAAAAAGAAAGCAAAAAAAATCGATTTTTTTTATTACGGTATTCGTTAGAATTGAGCGTTGCACGTTTTTCATCTAAAAACTTCAAGCTTCAAATTGCTTTTTTTACGGCTCCAATACGACCATTTCTAACAAAGATACAGCTATCCGAAAAATCGCAAAAAAAATTTTTATCCTTTAATTTTTTAGTCTTGGTCAAAATTTTTAATAATGAAAAATGTAATATATTCTACATTTTACTCAAAATTTCATTTTGAAAAAAAAACAAAAAAAAACGTTTTTTTTTCTAGGTTTTTTTTATGTTTTTTTTTCACATCTGAAAAAAAACCGTTTAATAGTTTATGTCTTAGAGAAAGGGTTGGAGAAGTAATTTTAAAAATGGTGTATTTTAATTATACTATACAATTCATTTCAACTTAGTTTAATAATATTACAAATATTGTTATTTTGTACAACAAATATTTAGTAATTTACGAATGATGGTATTGTAATTATACTACGAAAAAAAAACCTGCAATTTTCTTCAAGAAACTTCTTGACCCATAACTACAAAGATTAAAAAAAATTGAACCTTCACCTCGCCAGAGTTTTTGTTTTAAGTGCGTTCCACCAACTTCAAATACCGACAGATAGACCTATTTTGGGTCTAATCAATGTCGGGCAATTTGGTGTATTGGAACACACCAAAAACGAAAGACACCTGAGCTTATATACTGTCCACCTAAGTCAACCGAGGCGAGATGTAAGAACATCCGTGATTGCCGCAATCGGTACATACTATGAATTTTACATAACATTATAGAAAATCAAATTACAAACAACGTTTGTAAATCTGAGATGCTTTTTATTAGAAACTGTCAAACTGTTTAGTAAAATTACATGCATGTAGGATTTATACATATAGATTGTAAAATTACAACTTATCTTAGTAGATTTCCCAACATGCATGTACTCAAATTGTATTATATTTTTGTATTGGTATACACTGGCGGGCTGGGTCTCCTGATTTAACGCCACTTGATTTTGTTGTGGGGTTATTTAAATTCTAGGTCTACATCACCGAACATGAATCAATTGATGATCTAAACTAACGAATTAGAAATTATAAAATTTTTTTGTGTCAAAACATCTAAAGGGAACATTTTAAACATGTAATTTAATGGCTAATTGGAAATTTATTGTACATAAAAAATGAAAACCTTGTAGGTACTTAACAAATGAAAACAAAAACTTGATTTGATAATTAATTTAATTTAAACATTTAATAAATATAACAGCCATTGAACAGATTTTAAATTTTAATTATGCGTTGAATAGAGAGTCGAAATACCTTTCAAATGAGGTATTACAAGCCCCTTTCCATTTGATATTTTTAAATTGATACCTACTGCCCTCCTATAGGCACATATAAATTTGACGTCAATTTGTATCCCTACTTAATAACCTTGACAATAATTTTTGATACAATTTCTCGTTTAAAAGATAACGTACTGTATTTATAACAACAAATAATAATATATCGTTTAATATTTTCCACTTAAATTTTTTAATTTAATAATAATTTGGTGGTTAGTGGTTAACACGTTCACTGCCGACGTAATAGTTCGCCCATATTGCAGTGCCGATAGATTTTTTTAGAAATTTTAGATACAAATGGACTAAAGTTGTTTCTTTCGTTTCTTATTAAAAGGTTCTATTTGAAAAAATACTAAAACAAAAAACAAATAAACAAACGCGGTAGACGCGTTGGCGGCACCCAGCGACAAAAACCATGCTATATGCTATCGTACAGAACGCGGGTCCCGCGTGCTCGGCATATTGTAAAATACACAAGAACGCGGTAGCCGCGTTGCCGGCAGTTAAAGTGTTAAACATGGATTTTAGATATCAAAATTAAGTCCGATGATTTTTTAAACAAAAAGATAACCTTCTAAGCTAAAATAATAGTGGGTAAAATAAGTAAAACTTACATTTTAGGTTATTGGAATCACAATCAGCATCTCCTTGACTTTTAAAAGTACTGTCAAAAACTTAATACCCAATTGAAATGTCCCATTTTGTCTTTAAACACAATTTACCCAAAATATACCACAAAAAATGATAACTTAATGCTTGAATAACACTTTTACATACTTAAAATAAGAAAATTCACTAAAACTGGACCGGTTTCAAACATAACAACAATACTCACTGTAGGGCTCAAATTTTCCGGTAGAGGGCGGGAGTTTTAAAACCTTTGAATGTAAACAAGTTTGTTTTAAGTGTTTTGACGGTGTTTTTAGTGCAAATACTAATAAAAAGTGTTAGGAAAGCAAAGGTAAACTATTAAATATCATAAAACGTTAAGATGCCGTATAGTAGATACATAAATCGGCGTGATTATGATCTCGACTAATTTTTCTGTCATGTTTTATAAATGCAGCGCATGGCATGACGCTTTGGACCTTGTTTAACGTCAATTATATTTATTTCGCACACGGGTGTTGATACTAATTAGGTTTATGCGGAAATTGCACATCCATCGTATGGCACTTGGGTAACAGGAAAATGTACCAAACGTGTCGCAGACTTGGAATTTTAAATTATTCTGCAGATACAGTCGGTGTAGTAGTGTTTTTTATTTTAAAAAAGGTAGGTATTCCCACTGCATTTTATTTTGAAAAGTTGACAGCTGAGTCAAACCACGTCAAGTGGGACCAGAAAATTTCACGAAATCACCGATTTTGAAAATAATCACATTATTGTGTAGTAGGCATGACTCATATGTCACAGTAAAAAAATTGTTTTAAAATTCGTTTTTTTTGGTAATGTTATTAAGGTTGACAATTTTGTCAAACTTTAGAGCACGGTAAAATTGAAAAAATAGAATCTCTGGGACCACTCTGTATAATTGAATTAAATTTTACACACTATTGTAGAAATGTTTAGAGTATATAATGATCATTTAATTAAGGTTAATTTGTTTAAATAAAAGAATTTTGCATACATTTATTATAAACAATTGAAATTTTATATGTGTTCTTCACGCTGAAAAAAAATTAATCTTATGTCATAATATGCGGCAAACGTTTCCGTTTAATAAGATGTACTCAAAAATTTGCCTTTCATATGTCATTCCGGAGATATTAATTTTTTTGTCCGGCTGTGCGCTTAATCAGTACGCGGCGCGCTTCGCTGCTAGCTCGTCCGTTCGAACGGTTTAACGGTGTGCCTGAACGAAGTTTAAGTCACATAAAAATGCCGCCAAAAACTGATTGTAGCTTCTTGTTCGGGACCCTTTGGTGACTTAAAAATGATATTTACCAAAGTTCTAGCTGCTCCTCTTTTCGAAATTGTTCGAAAATTCATGATTTTTTTTCAAATTTTTGTTTATCTCTTTGACAGAGTACACATTTGCACACGGATTTTTATAAAATTGGAGTATATTATTTAGGAGACTTAGAGAATATTTTTTAATACTGTTCACATCATTTGATATATACAGGGTTAGCCAAAAATCACTTATTTTTAATAATGCAAAAGCGTAAATTCATGATTTTAGCATAACACGCGAAAAATATTTATTCCCAATTTTTTTATAGATATTTCTAGGACTATCAGGTAACAAAATTGCATTATTATTAACCTTTTACAAGAAAAATAGATTTGTAATAACATTTAATAAAATAACGCTTAGAGAGTATTTAAAATGTTGTTTAATTTAGGCTTTTTAGTAGTTTTCAATTTTGAACGAAAAATTGGTTGAAGTTAAAAAATATATTTACCAAAATTCTAACTGTTTTTTTTAATTTGTAAAAAATTCAATTTTTTTAAAATTATTTGTTTATAGCAAAGTCTACCTTTGCCAGAGTACACATTTGTACAGCGATATTGTAAACGAGAGAAATTGTTTTTATATAGATGCTTAGATTTATACAGGGTTAGACAAAAATCACTTTTTTATATAGTAAAAAGCATAATGCATAAACAAGATTTTTCAAAAAATTTCGAAAAGAGGAGCAGCTAGGATTTTGGTAAATATCATTTTTAAGTCACCAAAGGTTCCCGAACAAGAAACTGCGGAATTTGTATGTGAACTTCAGGCACACCGTGTGCTGACGAGCTAGCAGCGAAGCGCGCCGCGTACTGATCAAGCGCACAGCGGGACAAAAAAATTAATATCTCCGGAATGACATATGAAAGGCAAATTTTTGAGTACATCTTATTAAACGGAAACGTTTGCCGCATACTATGACACAAGATTAATTTTTTTTCAGCGTGAAGAACACATACAAAATTTCAATTGTTTATAATAAATGTATGCAAAATTCTTTTATTTAAACAAATTAACCTTAATTAAATGATCATTATATACTCTAAACATTTCTACAATAGTGTGTAAAATTTGATTCAATTATACAGAGTGGTCCCAGAGATTCTATTTTTTCAATTTTACCGTGCTCTAAAGTTTGACAAAATTGTCAACCTTAATAACATTACCAAAAAAACGAATTTTAAAACAATTTTTTTACTGTGACATATGAGTCATGCCTACTACACAATAATGTGATTATTTTCAAAATCGGTGATTTCGTGAAATTTTCTGGTCCCACTTGACGTGGTTTGACTCAGCTGTCAACTTAGCTAACTAAACTTGTTTCCATAGAACATTTGATCTGTTATTTGTATTTAACTTATTTTAAGTATAACATACTTATATACAGGGTGTTTTACATTCGTGGTCCATTAGAAGTTTCTTTGGAAGGACAAAATATATCGATTTGAAATTTTAACTTCAAGTTAATAGATTTATTACTTCATATTTTGCATTAAACATGTAGGTATATTAAACTAATTAATAAATAAACATTTAACTGGCTTTTGGCTTAAATTGACATAACTGTTGGTAATGGCAAACAAAATAGTATTCACTCATTTATTTTATTATTTTTTTGTGCTGAAAACTTGTTCCAGTTTTGCAGTGCAAACCAATTATCCAAACAATTAGAGCCTAACGGTCTTGTAGGGTATGTGTATACATTACGAAATAACTTCAAATCAGCTGAATTGAAAAAAATACGCACAGGCCTTGTTAAATGTTAATTAAACATACAAGGCTAGTTTGAGTGATGTACTTCATGAAACAAGATAAAAAATGCAAAATTTGTTTTTAGATAACGGTAATGGATTTTTTTATACAATGCTTTTATATTGTGGTTTATTGTTCGTTATTATTTGTAATTGCTTTTTGATATTAAGCTGAACTAAAAAATTTCCTATTTCGTAAAATTTTCTAAATAAGTAAGTCTTGTTATTGATACTTGTGAAGTTTAAGGAAATATGCTATACAAATGCTATATTTGGCAACATGCAGAATTTGCTTATAAGTAGTTTGTTGTTTTATATGTCAATCAATTTTGTAAGATACAAGTTTAGTAGGACAGCACAGAAAAGTTATCAGTTTTGATATTTAATGTCGCAACATTTCCCATAAGGCTAAATGTCGTTTAGGTTTGCCTAAATGGCATTTTAATTTTTGTGCGAAATTTTACGCTTTACAAAAATGGTTGTCGTTTTAAATTTAAAAAATGTTTGGCTTGTCTATTTTTTATATTTATCTGTAATATTGTTTACAAAACACTGAATTAAACAACAAATTGAAGGGGTTAGAATAAAAAGGGTATAAGTAACATTTTCATTTTTTGGAGATATTTGAAGTTAAAGTTATGTTACCATAAAAAAGTGAAGAATTTTGTTTAGTAATGTTTTTCTATTGGATAATAGAGGTCCCTAGAAGTATGAAAATTACTTAAATCCTTTTCATTTCGATACGTCGGAACCTTATCTTTCACAAAACGAACTTATCTCCTAAATTAAAGAAATTGCACTTATACCCTTTCTATTCTAACCCCTTCAATTATTCATAACCTGAAAAATTGACGCCATTAAATTTTGAACAATGACAGATTACGTCATGGGTTTCTTGATATAAAATAATATTTACAATTTTAGAAATTGTTAAATAGGTATCTCTGAAATTATTAACTTTAGGTATAGGGAATAGTTACATTAATCGAAATTTTTTTTAATTTACTATTTAATTATGTAAAAATTTACTGGGTGTTACTATTAAAATAAAACAGTAACCTTTCAAGTTTATTTCAAATCTTATAAATATAATAATAAATTGTTATAATTATTTGCAATTTTAAAATGAATGTAATAACTTAATTTCTTAGTTTTTCATTGATAAATCTGACCCCGATTTATTTCTAATTTGTATATTTTTCTTCACTTGAAACTCAAATATAATTATGGCAATTTTTCTAAACCTTGACCACTTTATATTTCATAATTGACATTTTAATGATGCCTTATTAAAAAAAATGCATTTTAACATTTTACCATTTTAGAAATTACCAACCATTACCTATCATTTTATTCATAATAATTGGAACAATCAAAAATTCCATCATCTATTATTTTAATTAATTTAAGATTAATAATATTCAGAAGGCATTATTCTATTCAAAATCAATGCTATAGGAAAGTAAATTCATTGTTTGCAGATAAATACTTTCTAAATTTCTATAACAATTAAATTAATCACACGAAAATAAATTGGAATGAAAAAAAATCATCTGAAATGCGTTTTGAGAAAGGTTAGTAAAAAACGGAAATATTTATGGAAGTTCATTGTTAACTTATTTACACAGACTATAGTATAGTAATTGCTAGTCTATGACTTGTCAATAATAGCTTGGTAATTGTTTTTACTGCTTATTTACATCATAACATACATTTTCAAGACCCAAGTTACTTGGGTTACGATTAAAGATGATTTTATGCCATGTAGTACAGTTGTGGAAAATAGTAATGCAATTATTTTTAAAAAAGTGTTATTTTTGTATAAGTTACTTAACGATTTAAGATGATTTTATGCCATGTACCTAGTACAGTTGTAGAAAATATTAATGCAATTATTTTTAAAAAAGTGTTATTTTTTTAAGTTACTTAACGATTTAAGATGATTTTATGCCATGTAGTACAGTTGTAGAGAATAGTAATGCAATTATTTTTGTATAAACATACATTCAATGTAAAAAAAATTTAAATTGAGAGATATCGATATATTCCATATACAACGTTGCCGTTTCTTTTGCAGAGTCCCCGACAATCGGACTCCGAAACATCTGACAGCGACAGCGAGGCTCCGCCCTCTTTAACCCCCCACCACCTGCTCAATAACAACCATCACAGACCCCTCAACCCCCTACATCACCATCTTGCCAATCCCAACATGACCACCATCGACAGCGTCAGAAATATGGCAACGCTGGCCGCCCTGGGAGCCCTATCCGGAGGTAAGAAAGGTTTATTATTTTTTTTTAATTTTTGCAAAAAACTAAAAATCCTAGGTAACTCTCCTGGGGGGCCGGGCTCCCCATTCCCCCTCTACAACACCAACGTGTTGACGCAGAACTACCTGTACATGGCCAACGTTGCCAGATCGCTGCAGAGCCAGACCGAGGCGGAAAAAGTGGTCGGCGGCGGTGGCGGCGGCGAACAGCCACTAGATTTAAGCAAGGGATCGAGCAATAGCCCAGTGGCGGAACAGAAGTTGGGCAACAATGTGCCCCGCCTGCCCACACTGGACACCAAACACATATTCAAGTAAGTAAACATTTTTCTCAATTAAGGTAGTTGTCGTGCTGTAAGCACCCATACAGCACAAGATGTCCATTTGACGTCAAATGGACTTACATTGGATGTACAATGGTCGTCCATTTGACGTCCAATGGACATCTTGTGCTGTATGGGCATACCATCAGAAAATTTTAAATTTTTGTATACATATTAAGGACATGACAATACAATTATCCTTAAAATTTGAAGTCGATTGACCGTCTATAACCCGAGATAATTTCAATTATAAATTGGATAACTGACATGGATTGTATACGCTTTCTGTAGTTCTGTACCAGTTCCTTAGTTATAAAAAAAAACTAACTGTCAGAAGTTTTCAAAAAACTAACAGTCTTTTAATGTATTTTTGCTGAGTTTAAAAAAAATAATTAAACATTTTTGACCGTCCAATTGTTTATAAATAACCGTTTAAAGTTCAACAATTTGTAAAAACTATACATCACTAGTGTCAGATAAAAACAACTTGGCAACGCTGTGCGCGAGTATAGACATTATTTCCGCAGTAAATTCAAACACTGATTCAGTCTCCAATATATCTATTGGTTGAGCATAAGCGACGTTGCCGGATTAAAACTTATGAAAATATTTAAAAGTATTACGTAAAGGTAACGTCTCCAGGGTACAGTCTTGGGAATAAATTATGAATCACTTAGCTACAAGCTCGTATACTTTTACGGTGCGTATAATCTAAAAATTTTTGACAATATTGTACCACGACAACTACCTTAAATGGGTATTTAATTTTTCAGTTGTGCGCCGCTGTTTCAAACATATAAAAATACAAAACATTGCATTTTATTGCTTTATATTTTCAAGGTTTTTTATTTTAATAAAATCCGTTTAATCTTTGGTAAATACATCAGTGGGTAATATTTGATGAGAAAGGGGTTATTGCACTGTTGCTATTTAAAAAAATATTGTTGAAATTTCGCGAAAATACATTTATTAATTATTAATTAAGTAAATATTTATTATAGTTATTTAAAAGATAACAAATCGCATGACAATTACAAATTTCATGTTTAATATTGTTATATCTATTTATTGGACTTAAAAAAATACACTACATGACACTAAGTTTGTTTAAAAACTGCATAAGGGTGATTCTACAAAAGTTGGGCAACTTTTGACCTCATTTTGTTTATATAGTTTTCGGAGAAAATTAAACAGTATTTTGTTATGAGAACATAGATAATATAATAAATATACTGTTCCAGCCACTTTTTCTGAAATATATATATATATATATATATGTGTTTTCTAAATTTGAATGCAAGGGGAGTGACAAGTATACCAGGGTACTAATAAAATACATAATTTATTGGAAAATATAAGATTTATTGCAACTTTGAGCATATTATACATTAAATATCTTAAAATCAAATAATACCACACATCAGTGGCGGCTGGTGGATTTTGGGTATCCGATATCTCAATTATTAGATATGGGACCAACACCAAATTTATATGAGTTTATAATGACTTCAAATAAACAAGTTCTGCGCAAGCAGAATTTAAATTGAAGTTTGCGAAAAAAAGATAACCGAAACATCGAACATGGAACTAACGAAACGGATACAAATTTGAGATTATAATTCGGAATTAAGTATTTTACTGATATTTTTTATTAGTGGATGCTACTTATCAACAAATCACATATAGCCTTATATAAATTACAATGAAATATATATACGTAAGAAAATAACTACTCACCACAGTACTGAAATTTTGACTGGAACTATACGTGCATTCACCACAAATTCGCCGCTTGCATTGTTTTCAAGATGACTGTCGTGCAAAGGGCGGGCTCTGTAGGTAATTTTTTACCAACACTTGAGTTAAAACGAGGACTTGACGTTTAAACTTCAATATTTCGCAGGAATTTTGAATTTTAACATTGGTTACAGAACTGACGGGTAAAAGTGAGTACAAAGATTATCAATTTTTTTAAAATTGCTATTATTCGAATCAATGATAAAATATGAAAAACACATTATTTAATGTTTTATAGTTTGTAGTGAAATTGAAAAATTTAAGATAAATTGAATATATTTTAAAATAAAATGAATATTTATTATGTTTTTCTACAAACGTGCTTTTGAAAAAATACATTAAAATTGGGTGGAGAAGTTAAAAAAACCTGGATCTTTTGTAATATACTAAAATATTTACAAAAAATATTAAAATACCTAAGTACTCTATTGACTGATTATTATTATTATTTTGCTACGCCACTGTATCAGACTTCGAATAACCTATTTCGAGATAAGTTCTGACCGATAAATTTTGTTTGCTCACAAGAAAATCTACGCTTTTTTTCGTTCTCATTTACCACACAAACATTTCTTAATGCCAATCTGCATTGTTATTGACCCCTTTTACAGATTAAAACAGGTCGTTTAACTCGATGTTTTTGCAAAAATCAGATCTAAATTTAAACAATTGTATTCGAGTACTTTGCCACCGCGATAATTATTATTATAATGGTTTAATTAATAGCTTGTTTTTATTTTATTTTAGCCAACAAACAAGATTTAAGTTAGAGTTTATTGCCGTCTTTATTGGGCAGGAAATAAGTTTTTATCGAATGTATTGTTAAAAAAAAGTCTGGAATTGATAAAAATTTTGACGTTTGTGGTTTTATATATATTATATATACATGGATTTTATATTATAAATGATTCTATAAATCATTTAAAATTATTAAAATTATCACAACTAAAACTATTCGTTATTTAACTTTTTTATAAGTATTTGGTTATGAGATTGTAAGTTAACCAGTATTCATTTCTCAGAAAACGATATTTTTATCAAATTTGATAAAAAAAATTCGGAAGTTGGAGAATGATTCGTAAATTTGTGGTTGGGTTATTAATACTATAAATAAAATTCATTACAAATTTTAGGTCAATGGTTGTTTTATTTACTAAGTAACCGCAGTGATAACCATAATTTGTTTATTGTTAAATTTTGCCTTATTCCTCTGGAAAATTTAACCAGTAATAATTTCCTGTTGCCGCGCTACTGTCCTATTTGTTTTTTATATCTTCATCGCGATATTTGCAGTCTATATTTGCGAATGCCACATTTTTTATATCAATCTCGACACAAACTGTGTGTTTTATGCATTCGCGCCTTTTTTCATCACAATCGAGTGTGTTAAGTTAAAAACAATTGCATATGCACTTGACATATGGTTAAATGGTTAGTTGGACACGTGGTGTTTATTACCAGTTTTTTATGGTAACGGTACTAGTGATTATAACGTTTTTTTGTGCACTGTGTGTGAAATAGCCTTTTGGGATTTGGGATAGGTTAGTTTGTTTGTTTTTGATTGCGATATCTCGACAAAATTTCGGCGGATTTTTTATCAAAATATCAACAGGGTTAACCTTGACATATTTGCATTTTATTTACTATTTTTAATTAGCGGACAAATTTTGTTTTTATTTTATTTTGAGTCAAAATTAATTTTTTTATTTGAATTTTATTAATATTATACATATACATACATCTTGTCTAAACATCTAGCAACCTAAGAAAATTGAAAAGCATTTGTTTTCTAGGACGCCACCTTGATTAAATTAAAAATAAAAAAGTTTAAATGCATATTTTTTTATATCAAACTTAACATTTTAAATTAAAAAAAAAATTAAATCCGGTCTATCGGACAGATGAAAAATTGATACTGTCGAACGTGTAATTTTCTGTTGTTGGTAAGCTGTATTTTGTGAATTAGTGTCAATGTATTTCAAACGGCTAAGGCAAAAATCTGCAAAGTAGGACAAGGGCACTCGAATTGCATTATTTGTCTTCTAATCGTACTGCAGTGGACAGGACCGGACTTCAATATCCTTGAACAAGCAAAAGGATCGTTGACATTCTAAATTTAAAAAAAAATATTTTGATATTAAATTTTTTGTTTTGTTTTGATATTAATAGTTGTATGTAGCAAGGCAGTCCAAATGACTTTAATGCCGAGGTGCATATTAAATTTTATCGAAATCATATTTAATAAAACTAATAGTTAATATTGATGATTAAATTTTAGCCTCCACATTGGATTTTTGTTTACGATTTTATGGTGTTATTTACAAGTTTTAACAAACATTTTTTAAAAAACAATAAAAAATAAGTTATCTAGTTTACGAAATATCAATTATTACTTATTAGATACCTTAAATTAATGGAATTTTCTTTAAAAAAATATTTATAAATTTTGACACATACGTCAGATTTTATGAATTGTCAAATAGTTTCCTTTAATTCGAGAAATAATCTAGACGTATATCACTCAACCTATAAATTTAATCTGTCAAACTATGCTCAGTAAGTTTTTTGGAAAATAGTTTCATGCAAAATAATTAAAAATAAAACCCCTGACCGCTACGCGGTCTCGTGATTTTATTAAATTATTTTGCATTCAACATTTTCCAAGAAAAACCAAACAAAAAACTACTGAGCCTAGTTTAACCGATTAAATTCATAGTTCTCATGATATATGATTAAATCAAATGTCATATGATGATCAAATCAAATGTCATTTGAATGCAGGAAGTGTCTACGTATAGTGTTTGTTGCGACGGTTATTATTAATCTAATTAATAAAATTAACTTATTAGTTTTATTAAACAACATTTTATGAAAGGGTCCAATGGACCTCCGTGACGGTGCTTTTTTTAATATTATTTAGTTGCTGCTGAGGAGCAGTAGACACATCTTAAAATGTATAATGGGTTGCATACAATACTCTTATTAAATCGGCAGTAAAGTTCTACTTTACTTTACTGCCGATTGTTGACTACTTTACTGCCGATTTCGGATAAAAGATTTTTTATAATTAATTATACAGGTTGTCTTGAAGATGAAATTATTTTTTTTTAGATAAATTATTATTATATTATTTCAAAAATTAGCGCTTAGGTATTGAAAACGCCCAGTTAAATCTAGTTAGCCAACTTAAAACTAACTTTAGCCCCTGACTAATGTTGAAGTAGAAAAAATGTTTTTCCAAAAAAAAATATTTGAACGAAATCAAATGTCACGTTTTCATTGAATAATGTTTACCATCGAATCCGTTACTGTCCAGTTGTAATAAATTACAACGACAATCGACTTCATGCAAATGAAAACAACTTGCGTATCACATTTCTTATCGGACATAATTTGGCATCATCCGAATTATTCCTGCGCTGAATAATGATGACCGACTGACTTCGCAGCAATAACTTCTAATTTACCGAACATAACATCGAAAGTTTTCAGCTACAGAGACGAAATCTTGATAAACTCACGCAGAACTGAAATATTACCTGCCCACCTGAAAAATGCCAACGTGATCTAACTAGGCCACGGCCTTATGCTAGAACTCAAAGTTTTATTTTGTTTTTTTTATAGGAAGTATACATGAAACATTTTTCGATGTAAATAAAAGCTATATCAAATGTTTCTTGCAGCTTCTCTTATGTTTTTTTTTGTTTAACCCAAGGGCTAAACTGACGTCTCATAAAGCTATAATTTCAGTTCTGATTTTAGAGCCAAACCTAGAATGTCCAATGTAGCTGGTCGGAGGACCTACACGGAAGATGAGCTGCAAGCTGCGCTTCGTGACATACAGTCTGGAAAGCTAGGTAAGAAAAAAAAATAACTTTTCATTAAAAATATATTAACCTTTTGCCAACTTTAATAACCTCTTTTGGATTCCGTAAAATGTTTACTTGAGTATAGTTACTAACCTTATTAAATATTATTGAAATTAGACTTTTTCCAACATTTATTAACCTTTTATCAAGTTTAATTTTCTGTATGTCATGGATTTTTAACTTTAAAATATAAATTAAAAACTTTTTATTATTAAGGATGTTTTGTAAAACTTATTCATAACTTTTATTACAATATATTAACCCTTTTCCAACCTTCATTAACCTTTTTTCAAGTTCAATTATCTTGGATACAACATTTACCAATATTTCTAAAACAACAATATTATTATTTTTTGAATAATGTTTAGTATTTTAGGTTAAAAATCCGAACATAAAAAGTTTAATATTTTATAATTTGTACAACTTTATTCGTTAAATATTTACATTTTACCAATATTATCCTTTTTTCGTCATTTATTAACCTTTTTCTGACATTTATTTAACCTTACCAAGAATTTCTATAATTTTTTACTGAATTTTTAAATCAATATTCTTTATTAAATAATCATTTATTTCTATTTTTAACCTTTTCTCAAACATTGCTGAATATAATTAAGCATTTAATTAAATATGAGCATTTTGGTTAAAAATCCCATCCTAAATGTTTACAACTTAAATCGTTAAATTTTGGAATTTCTCCTATACTAACTTTTTCTCAGCATTCTTTAACCTTTTTTCTGACATATACCCCAACCAAAAATATCTATAATTTTTCCTTAATTTTGTATCAATATTACCTTAACTTAATTTTTTCATATTTAAACCTTTACGTATATTTTTAACCTTTTTTCAAACATTGCACATTTCTGAATATTTTTTAAGTTTTATTTAATATTTATTAACCTTTTTTCGATGGTATTGCAAAATGTTAAGTATTTTAGGTTAAAAATCCCAACACAAAAGTTTTGGATTTTATAAATTGTACAACTTTATTCTTTAAATATTTGAATTTTACCAAAATTAACCTTTTTTCTGACATTTATTTAACCTTACCAAGACTCTCTATAATTTTTTCCTTAATTTTTAAATCAATATTCTTCCATAATTATTCATTTATTTATATTTTTAACCTTTTTTTAAACATTGCTGAATATAATTAACCATATAATTAAATATGTTTGATATTTTGAAATTTATTGGAGCATTTAGGTTAAAAATCCCATCCTAAAAGTTTATTATTTTATAATTTTTACAACTTTATTCGTTAAATTTTTGAATTTCTCCTATACTAACCTTTTCTCAGCATTCATTAACCTTTTTTCTGACATTTATTTACCCCAACCAAAAATGTCTATAATTTTTCCTTAATTTTTTATCAATATCACCTTAACTTTGCCATAAATGTTTTTTTTTTTTAATTTTTCATATTTAAACCTTTACTTATGTTTTCTAACCTTTTTTAACATTGCACATTGCTAAATATTATTAAGCATTCAAATACATATTTTTGGCAACATGGTTACATCTTTTAACAGTTAATAACCTTTTATTGCAGTATTTTAGGTTAAAAATCCCAACACAAAAGTTTTGGATTTTATAAATTGTACTTTATTTTACCAATATTAACCTTTTTTCGGCATTTATTAACCTTTTTCTGACATGTATTTAACTTTCTTTAATTTCTATAATTTTTTCTTCAATTTTTAAATTAATATTCTTCAATAATTAACGTTTTTTTAAACATTGCTGAATATAATTAATCATTTAATTAAATATGTTTGGTCTTTTGAAGTTTATTGGAGCATTTAGGTTAAAAATCTTATCCTGAAAGTTTATCATTTTATAATTTTTACAACTTTATTCGTTAATTTTTGATTTTTTCCTATACTAACCTTTTCTCAGCATGCATTAACCTTTTTTCTGAAATTTATTTACCCCAATATCTTAATTTTTCATCAATATTACCAATATTGCCCTAAATGTTTTTATTTTAATTTTTTCATATTTAAACCTTTAATTATATTTTTTAACCTTTTTTCAAACATGGCACATTGCGGAATATTATCAAGCATTTAAATAAATATTTTTGGTCTTATTTTGAAGTTTAATAAAGTATTTATTAAGATTAAGTTTTATTTAATATTTATTAACCTTTTTTCGATTGTTCAATTATCTTGGGACATTTACCTTAATCTAAATTATTATTATTTTTACTAATAATAACATATTTATATCATTTAACAGTTTTTTATTGCAAAATATTAAGTATTTTAGGTTAAAAGTCCCTTGGAACACAAAAGTTTTGGATTTTATAATTTGTAAAACTTTATTTGTTAAATATTTTAATTTTACCAATATTAACCTTTTTCGGCATTTATTAACCTTTTTTTTAAGATTTAGGTATTTAACCTTACCAAGAATTTCTATAATTTTTTCCTCAATTTTTAAATCAATATTAATCTTTTTTTTTATATTTTTAACCTTTTTTTTAAAACCAACTTTATTAATTAACCATTTATTAAGATTTCATTAATTAACCTTTAACAATTTTTTGTAGTTTTTGTACGATTCATAGTAAATAAGCATTTTTACAATTAACCTTTTTTCAATTTTTTAACCTTTTTTCAACATTTTTAACCTTTTTTTTAAGGCACGAGAAGGGCAGCAGTGATATACGGCATCCCGCGTTCGACGCTCAGAAACAAAGTTTACAAACTGGCGTTGGAGAAAGAACGGGAATCGCACCTCAACAGTTCAGCGTCGTTAAAACTCGATGAAGAGGAGGCCATGGACGACGACAAGGACCTTTCTGGAGCCGAGGAGGAGAAGGAAGTGGAAAAAGCCTTGCAAGGACCTCTTCTAACTGTCCAAGATATCTACAGGTATATAAAGTATTTATTTATTTTTCAGAATGTTGTTAATGTTTTATCTTAGGTTTTCCAATATGGAGAATCCTCCGGAGGCTCTGAAAGCCCTTTTGGCCAAGACTAAGGACAGCATGGAGCATTGGCAAGGTTTGGACCATGCAGAGGTGGCTCCTTACATCCAGAGTTTGCTGTTGGCTTCTCAAAACCTTCTGGTCAACGAAAAACCTCCGGACGGTCTTTTGAACCATCTTCCGAACTTTAAGAACATCATTTCCGATGAGCAGTACATCAAACACAACAATGGCGACAGCGAGAAGGTATGATCAATTTTTCTTTGTTTAATTTTTTGGTTGGTAATTTTTTTTTCAGTTGTCTGTGATCACCAAAGTGGAAAAGTCCAAGTCGGATTCCGATATGGAAACTGACGAAGGCCCATCCAACGTGATATTGAAAATTCCGTCCTTTAAACCGACCACGAGCAAAAACGGTTGCGACATCTACAGGTAAAAATAAACATTTTTTTTAGTATTATATTAGTAATATTACAGTTGCACCACAAGTCTTTATTTCTGATAAACCATCAACATTATTAATTTCCTTTTTCTTTTGTGTTAAATTATATCGTTGAAGTGTTCCCTCTTTCTTCCTGGATGTTTCTTGGAAGTTTCTTCCCAGTAATTTCCTTTAAAGATGTTATCTATGAATTCGTTGTGTGATGCGACCAATCATTTTTACTGTCCTTGATTCAATCGTCTTCATCAGCTGTCTTTTTCTCGTACTTCTTCCCAGATAGCACTCAAAGTCTTGAAGATGTCTTTTGTATGTCTGTATTATGACTAAACGTCTGAAGATCTAAAAAAGACGTTTGAAAGACGTCTTTTGATAGACGTCTTAAAGATATCTTCATTTAATGTTCTAAAGACATCTTATATGCCTTATACCGCCGTTTATTTTTTGATAAAACAGTGAATTTTGAAGATATAATTAGGTACCATCTTATTTTGGTTTAATAGAAACAACATTAATGTAGGATTTAGGGTAACTGAATAAATATATATCTGACATTTTAATTACTTAATACCTTAAAAGCGTTTTGGCGATGTAGCAATGCATAACCAAGACTTTTTCAATAGGTAGTCTTTAACATCTTAAAGACGTCTTAACAACGTTTAGCAACGACTTAAAAGGACATCTTAAAGACGTCTTAAAGATGTCATGGGTTCAAACTTGCTCATTGTTTTTCTTATCTTGGACAATTCTCGAAATGGCTTTTTCCAGAAGCTCCGCGGAATCGGGGAGCATGGTCTCTCCCTCGGTGACTAGCGAGTCGAACTCTCCCCCCATCCTCCCCACCGTGAAGGGCGGCCTGATCCTGAAAGACGTCAAGGACGTGATAGCTCAGAGCATCACGCAGAAGTTTCAGCAGACGCTGCAGGACCCGTCGAGCCGAAGACCCATCATGGAGATGGACTTCAAGAGCGGCGGTTACGGTTCTCCGCTGGGTGCAGGCGGCATCAGCGTGATTAAAAGTCAGTCGGACGTCAACAGGCAGTACCAACCTCAGCCGCCCAAACCTCAGCCACAAGGTAAGGAATTTCATGCTTTAACATTCTTTAGAATGGTTTTAACATTGTATTTGATTTTATTGTGAATCTACAGTGTTTTGAACATTTGACAAATTCTATAGTAGGAGTTTAACATTCCAAATGCTTTTAACATTTATAAATGTTTTAAACATTCTTAAAAATGATATAAAATATTTTTAGACATTTTTAAGTTTGTTTAAATGCTTTTGATGTCAATATACAGTTTTTTGAACTTTTTACAGAAACCATTTAACATTCTCAAATATATTTTAATATTCTAAACTCTTGATAATATTTTTTTTACATTTTTAAAGATGCTTTTGATATCAATCTAAAATGTTTTAAACATTTAATAGAAAAGGTTTAACATTTTTAACTACTTTAAGATGGTTTTAGCTACTTTAAAGTATGTTTATAACATTCTAATGTTTTGTATTTCAATATAGAGTTTTTGAAACTCTTTACAAAAAGGGTTTAACATTCTAAAATATATTTTAACATTGTGAATACTTTTGAATAATGATTTTACATTCTTAAATTTGTTTTAAAAATATGCTTAACATTCTAGACGCTATTATTGTAAATGTAAAGATTTTTAAACATTTTAAACTTTTTACAAAAACCATTTAACATTCTTAAATATATTTTAACATTCTAAATACTTTTGACTTTTAAAGTCTTTTGATAATAAATAAAAATGCAATCTAAAGAGTTTTGAACATTTGAAAGAAAAGGTCTAACATTTAAAATGTTTTTTACATCTGTTTTGATATTCTAAAAATTGGCTTGACATTCTAAAAAATGATTTTAGATGACTTTTTAGCTAATTTAAAATATGTTTATAACATTCTAAATGCTTGTGATGTCAATATACAGTTTTTTGAACTTTTTACAGAAACATTTTACATTCTCAAATATATTTTAACATTTTAAATACTTTCTAAAATATTTTGATATTAAAAAAATGGTTTTACATCCTTAAACTTGTTTTAAAAATGTACTTTTTAACATTCTAGATGCTTTTGTTTTCAATATAAAAGTTTTGAACATTCTCAAAGATATTTTAATATTCTTGAGTATGATTTTAACATTTTAAATGCTTAGATTGTTTTAGATAAAATGCTTTTAATGTCAATATACAGTTTTTGGAATTCATTACATTCTTAAATATATCTTAACATTCTAAATACTTTTTCCTGCTAAAATATTTTGGTGTAAAAAAATTATTTTACATTCTTTAATTTGCCAGTTAACATTCTCAAATATATTTTAACATTGTAAATACCTTTGACTTCTAAAATATTTTGATGTTGAAAAAATGATTTTACATTCTTAATTTGTTTTAAAAATGTGCTAGATGCTTTTGTTTTCAATATAAAAAGTTTTGAACATTTTAAAGAAAAAGTTTAACATTCTCAAATATATTTTAATATTCTTGAGTATTATTTTAATATTTTAAATGATTTTTACATCTATTATTTTTTATATTTTAAAAATTGGTTTGACATTCTAAAAAGTGATTTAATATAGGTTTTTAACATTTTTAAGTTTGTTTTAGCTATTTTAAATATGAATTTGACATTCTTAATGCTTTTATGCTTTTAAGCTTTTGTCTATATACAGTTTTTATTTTTTTTACAAAAATGGTTTATTTTACATTTTCAAATAAATTTTAACATTCTAAATACTCTTAAAAATTATTATTTTAAAAATTGGTTTGACATTCTAAAAAGTTATTTATGATGTGTTTTTAACATTTTTAAGTTTGTTTTAGCTACTTTAAAACATATATTTAACATTTTTAATGCTTTTATGCTTTTGTATATTCAGTTTTTGATTTTTTTTTACAAAAATGGTTTATTTTACATTTTTAAATAAATTTTAACATTCTAAATACTCTTAAAAATTATTATTTTAAAAATTGGTTTGACATTCTAAAAAGTGATTTATGATGTGTTTTTAACATTCTTAAGTTTGTTTTAGCTACTTGAAAACATGTATTTAACATTTTTAATGCTTTTATGCTTTTGTATATACAGTTTTTGATTTTTTTTTACAAAAATGGTTTATTTTACATTTTTAAATAAATTTTAACATTCTAAATCCTCTTAAAAATTATTGTTTTAAAAATTGGTTTGACATTCTAAAAAGTGATTTAAGATGTATTTTTAACATTCTTAAGTTTGTTTTAGCTACTTTAAAACATGCATTTGACATTCTTAATGCTTTTATGCTTTTGTATATAGAGTTTTTGATTTTTTTTACAAATATGGTTTATTTTACATATTTAAATATATTTTAACATTCTAAAAATTATTGTTTTAAAAATTGGTTTCATTCTAAAAAGTGATTTAAGATGTATTTTTAACAGTTTTAAGTTTGTTTTAGCTATGTACATGTATTTCACATTCTTAATGCTTTTATGCTTTTGTCGATATACAGTTTTTGATTTTTTTTTACAAAAATGGTTTATTTTAGATTTTCAAATATATTTTAACATTCAAATTACTTTTAAAAATTATTATTTTAAAAATTAGTTTGACATTCTTAAAAGGTATTTAAGATGTATTTTTAACAGTTTTAAGTTTGTTTTAGCTATTTTTAAACATGTATTTGACATTCTTAATGCTTTTATGCTTTTGTCTATATACAGTTTTTTTTTTTTACAAAAATGGTTATTTTACATTTTCAAATATATTTTAACATTCTATATACTTTTAAAATTTTTATTTTAAAAATTGGTTTAACATTCATGTATACAAGTTTTGAATATTTTAAAGAAAAGGTTTAACATTCTCAAATATATTTTAATATTCTTGAGTATTATTTTAACATATTAAAAGATTTTTACATTTATGATTTTTGATATTTTAAAAATTGGTTTGACATTTTAAAAAGTGATTTAATATAAGTTTTTAACATTTTTAAGTTTGTTTTAGCTAATTTAAACATGTATTTGACATTATTAAAGCTTCTGTCGATATACAGTTTTTGGTTTTTATTTACAAAAATGGTTCATTTTACATTTTAAAATATATTTTAACATTCTAAATACTTTTAAAAATTATTATTTTAAAAATTGGTTTAATATTCTAAAAAAGTTATTTAAGATGTATTTTTAACATTCTTAAATTTGTTGCTTTTATGGTTTTGTATATATAGTTTTTGATTTTTTTTACAAAAATGGTTTATTTTACATTTTTAAATAAATTTTAACATTCTATATACTTTTAAAAATTATTATTTTAAAAATTGGTTTGACATTCTAAAAAGAGATTTAAGATGTATTTTTAACATTTTTAAGTTTGTTTTAGCTACCTACTTTAAAACATGTATTTCACATTCTTTATGCTTTTATGCTTTTGTATATACAGTTTTTGATTTTTTTTACAAAAATGTTTTTTTTTACATTTTCAAATATATTTTAACATAATTATTATATTAAAAATTGGTTTGACATTCTAAAAAGTGATTTAAGATGTATTTTTAACATTCTTAAGTTTGTTTTAGCTACTTTAAAACATGTATTTGACATTCTTAATGCTTTTATGCTTTTGTCGATAAACAGTTTTTGTTTTTTTTTTCAAAAATGGTTTATTTACATTCTCAAATATATGTTAACATTCTAAATACTTTTGACTATAATGTTTTGACATAAAAAAAATCTTTTGACAATCTAAAGTCCCAAACTTGAACGTGGCTTTCAGGAGGCGGCGGCGGCGGCAGCGGCGGGGGCAACGCCACGGGGGGCAAGGGCACGCGGCCCAAGCGCGGCAAGTACCGCAACTACGACCGCGACAGCCTGGTGGAGGCGGTGCGCGCCGTCCAGAGGGGCGAGATGTCGGTGCACAGGGCGGGCAGCTACTACGGCGTGCCGCACAGCACCTTGGAGTACAAAGTGAAGGAGCGGCATCTGATGAGGCCGCGCAAAAGGGACCCGAAGCCGAACCCCGTGGACGAGAAGATCGCCAGCCTGAAGCAGAACGACCTGAGGATCGCGCAGGACAAGTTAAAGCCGGTGACTATGAAGCCGCCGCAGAAGTTCTCCCCCACGCACGCCAACGGCATGAAGATGCCCATCTTCGAGCAAGGAATGCCGCACGGTAAATATGACTTTTATATATATATATACAGGGTGTCTCACCAGCGATGGTACCTTAGACGTTTACGGGGAACAGCTGAGGATATCAATTTGAAATTTTGATAGCAATTATTGTACAATTTAATCTACCTTTTAAAATTATTTTAAATAAAATTCCTCTTCCGGTTTAACCGGAAGCGACATCAAACTTTGTTATTTCCAATGGAACACCCTGTAAATTTTTTTATTTTTAAATTCCTCATGAAATTCTTAATGAAATTGCTGTACCATTCCCTATACCTAAACTTAATAGTTTTCGAGTTAATAATTTTTTTCGTAAAATTTTGACAGTTGCACCTTCATTAAAAATTGCCTATAACTTTTTTGATATTTGGTTTGCTGGTATGCTGTAAGGATTTTTGGAATCTTAAAACATTGTTATAAAGATTCCATGTCTGAAATTTTCATATTTATGATCAAAAACCAGAGAAAAATCGTGGTAAATTTGGTTAACTTCAAACATTAATAACTTGTTTATTTTCAATGGAATGGTATGCATGTTTTTACATAATCAAATAGGAAAATGAATTACATTTCGATTGGTATAACCATTCCCTATACCTAAATAGTAAGGTTTCGGAAATACAAGCAAATTTCTGTAAAAATACAAAATTTTAACATATTTATCTCAGATGTAACGTGGATTTTGCAATTTTTCAACATTTCTGTCATATAGCAAAAAAATATAAATGAAGATTATTTAATTTTTTGATGCGAAATTTGAAATATGTTACATAACCTTCTGTATATTCCGATTAAAGTTTTGTTGTTTGGTGAGAATGTTTTTTCCTATATGCAGATTAATATTTTGCTTGAGCACCAAAAAAAACAAAAACTTTGCGGAAATGAATCACCCTAATATATATAGGTATACCTAGTGGTAATTTCAAAAATTACTTTTTTGTGCTGTGGATATAATAAAATTATGGGGAATTTTTAGCTTAAAAATTTATAAATTAATTTTAATTTTTAAACATTTCATAGGATATTATTTCGTAACATATCTATTTTTAAATTACACTAGTTTACAAGAATTTCCTCATTGAACCAAAACTACTTTTTAAATTAAATTAAACTTTAAAATTTTGTGCTGATTCAGAAAATCATAGAGGTTTTCCTGGTTTAGCTCTAGATTTCGAGATTCGCATGAAATCTCGAAAAGATGAAACGTTACAGAACATTTCAGCTAAAATTGTTATTTAATATTAACATAATCCCAAATGTTTATAGCTATAAGAAGGAAAGTGTAATAAAAATTTTAAGGTGACAAACTTACATTAGTGGTTTGGTCGTTAGGACCAAAAACAGGTAAAAATCGTTTTTTTCTGAATTTAAAAAAAAATCAACTTTGGTCCAATGTAAATAAAAAAACACTTTGAAATATAAAAAGTTGGCCCCCCTATATTCTAGAGAATTTTAATAAATAAATAACAAAAAACTAAAAAAAAACGGTTTTGATAACTTTTTCCCCTTATTAAATCTAAAAAAATTGTAATATTATAAATGATAACATTTTTCATTGCTTCAAAAAATGTTCCGTACATAATCTGAATCTCATTATATATATTCTCTAGAATATAGGGGGACTAACTTTTTATATTTCAAAATATTTTTTGATATACAGTGGACCAAAGTTGAAAAAATTGAAAAAAAATCGAAAAATAATGATTTTTTCTGACGTATTTTTCGTCATAGTGACAAAACCACTAATGCGATTTAGGATCTTAAAATTTGTATTAAACTGCAGTCCTTACAGCTATAAAGATTTGGGATTGATTTGATATCAAATAAAATTTTAGCTGCATATTTGTGATTGAATATTCTGTAACAGTGCATTTTTGCGATATTTCATGCATAACCCGAAATCTTTTGGAATCAGTACAAAATTTTACCTTAAAAAAAAGTAGTTTTGGTTAAATTAGGAACAACTTTATGAAATTTTGTAAACTAGTGTTATCTTATATGGAATATTTTATTTTTTAATCATTTTAATAATAATGGTTTTTGGTTTTATTGCACTCCTACTACTGTTTTTGAATAAAACAAATTAATTTTTAAGGAATTAAACATACAATTACGATACCTACTTTTGCCAAATAAAAACCTTGTGAAACAGCTTTTGTTTAGAACTATTTATAAAAATTTGAAATTAGTAATATAATAGAACAATATTATTTTGTAAATAAAAACATGCAACTGTCCCATCCGTTACGCGTGGAATGGCCCAATTTCGTTATTTCGAAGAATTCTAAAAATTCTGTAAATTTCAATATAGCGGCGATGGGAAAAACAAAAGATGGTGGTAACTCAAAATCTAGTAGGCCAAAAAAATCACAAATTGATTTGTTTGTATTTTTATTGTTTCGCAAAATAAAATTATATAAACTGATTTTTTTTTATTTTTTAGGTCCTCTGGCAGGCTACAACAACCCGTTCCCGTTCTGGCCGCACCCGACCTTCCACGCTCTGCCGCTGACAGCGGAGTACGCGGGTCGCAATCCGCCGTCTCCGTTCCCGCCCAACCCCGAGTTCTTCGCCACGCAGATGATGCAGAAGCTGCACGAGGACTCGTCGCGGCTGGCGCCTCAGCAGGCCGCCTCGCCGCCCGGCGGCACCCCCAAGTTGGCGAAGAACGCCCGACAAATAGCGGAGTCGCTGCTGGACGGCACGGGAAGCAACGGGTCCTTCCTGGACGGAATTATAAGGTAAAAATGTTTAAGCCTTTTACTTTTACGTTTTACAAAATTTAATATTCTAATACCATGCAGTGACCCGCAAAAGTATGGAACTAATTTTTAAAAAAATGTGCCTTTTTTCCCAAAACTTTTTGGTGTACAATTTTAATATTTAACGCCATTTTTGTAGGAGCTATCGGTGTCCTATGTTACGTAAACTTAAACCTAAAATATCTTTTGAATGGATTGGTTTACGAAAAAACTATAAAATACATTTTTTGTAGACAATTTAATTATCTATATAAAAATGTATTGGGTAGGTTTAGCTTTATATTTATTTATTAGTAAAATACAAAATGTTTTTTACCGTACTAATGCGAAAATGGATCTTACTCTTATAATAGTAAGAGCTTATAAGTATATAGGCTTCTTTTAAGGTGACGAGTGTTCAATTTTTTGATTTCATAAGCCAAAAAAAATTAGTATTTGAATCACCCAAATATGCATAAATAATTAAGAAAAATTGTATTAAAGTAAATATGAAGTATGAAAAATATTAACTTTTTTACAAAATACATATATGTAATAAGTTTCGATTAAAATCAAACAATTAAACAAAATGTAAAATATTGTAAAAATACAAAATATAGAAATTTTTTAAAAAATGTGATCCCGGCGCATTCGCCATTTTTAACAGTTTTAATTGACGTCTAAACCCGGAAAAATAGCGGGAAAAAACTGTTTTTTTTTAAATTGTCTTTTTTGGTCAAAATGATTTTTTTTTAAAATACAAATTTTAAAAAAAACTTCATTATAAATTTTAATAAATTTTAATTAAAAAAATATCCTTTATTATTAATATAGAAAAATTTAAAAAATGTGATCCCGACGCATTCGCCATTTTTAACAGTTTTTAACTGCCGTCTAAAAAACGAAAAAATGGGGGAAAAACCTGTTTTTTAAGGAAAAATTGTTCTTTGTGGTCAAAATGATTTTTTTTAAATATACAAATTTGAAAAAAAACTTAACATTATTTTAGTTAAAAAAATATCCTTTATAACAAAAAAAAAAGTAAAATATTGTAAAAATTCACAAAGTATGAAAAAATTTAAAAAATGTGATCCCGGCGCATTCGCCATTTTTAACAGTTTTTAATTGGCGTCTGCAAAACGGAAAAATTGGGGGGAAAACCTGTTTTTTTGGAAAATTTGTCTTTTTTGGTCAAAATGATTTTTTTTAAATATACAAATTTGAAAAAAACTTAACATTATTTTAGTTAAAAAAATATCCTTTATTACAAAAAAAAAGGAAAATATTGTAAAAATTCACAAAGTATGGAAAAATTTAAAAAATGTGATCCCGGCGCATTTGCCATTTTTAACAGTTTTTAATTGGCGTCTACAAAACCGGAAAAATTGGGGGAAATCCTGTTTTTTTGGAAAAATTGTCGTTTTTGGTCAAAATGACTTTTTTTAAATATACAAATTTGATAAAAAACTTAACATTATTATTATTTTAATTAAAAAAAATATCCCTTATTACAAAAAAAATGTAAAATATTGTAAAAATTCACAAAGTATGAAAAAATTTAAAAAATGTTATCCCGGCGCATTCGCCATTTTTAACAGTTTTTAATTGACGTCTAAAAAACGAAAAATTGGGAAAAAACCTGTTTTTTTGTAAGTAAGTAAAGGAATGTGACGGCCTCAAAATGTTTAAAAAAACTTTGTTAAAACACATTAACGAATTAAGTATTTAATAGAGATTAAATGTACAAATATAATAGAAGAAAAATTGTTATTTACCTACTGTTTTTTTATATGCATATGTATTTATTTGTGTTGTAATTTTATAGCTTCTGCTAAATAAACGTTATTTATTATTATTATTATCCGTACAAATTTGGAAGTTTTCAGAAAAATTGACTTGAATTTTTTCTGAAAATTTTCCAATTTTTCCGGAAAAAACGATTTTTTGCTGCCGGCTCCAGTAGAAATGTTCATAAACTTTCATTTCAGTTTATTATTGTTTTTTGTTATTCTACAAATAGCAAGTGTTGATTGTCAAAAATGGCGAATGGGCCGGGATCACAATTTTTTAATTACATTTTCTATATTTTATCCAGGGACTGTATATTTTTAAAATATGCATTTTTCTAGTTTGCACTGTATTCTCTGCAAAAATTCGCAAACGTCCGTGCCGATAATGATTAAAAATGTAAAAAGTCTCGGTTTCAGGTCGAGCTTGGAATCGGGCGTGCCCGGGCAAGAGGAGAAATCTCCGCCGGAAGAGAAGAACGTCGCGCCCGAGAACATGTCGAACAAAGCGCTGCTGGATCAGCTGTGTCGAAACAGCCGACTAACGCCGCTCTCGAAACCGGGAGCGGCGGCCGCCCCCGCCGACGCCGCCGGCGCCGCCGCGTCGGCCAACAGTTCCGGGGACGAATCTTACAGGAAAGGTGCCAGTCCACTGAACTTTGCCACAGGTAAATATCATTCAATTTACACAAATTTTCGATGAATTTCAATCGCAAATAACTTTTTTATTTGATGTCGGATTTAAACGAATATTAAAGAATATTGTAGATAAATTAATGGACAATCGCTCACATTTTAAAAAAATACTAAAAAATACACGTACGTTTATAATATACAGGTTTAAACAAAAAGATGTTTTTTACCATAAGTTTAAGACACTGTAGAGTGGCAAAACCGTATATTATTCTAAATTAAGTTTTATTTATCAAGTCACATCAATTCTTAACAGTTTTGTTTTTGGTTTACCTCGATATATTTCTTTTTGTGGAAAATATGGATTTTTTTAAAAAACATTGCAATTTCCAATATTTTTCCTGTATGAAGAACTAAAGTTGCTATGGTCCATCCATAGCCTACGGAGGATGACAGTGGCAGTTTTGTTGAATCATCCCATACTTGGACATGTCATATACAGATTTCAAAAGCTATCAAATTGTTTTTTGTAAATTAATGTGTTAATTTCTTACTTTTAAAAATGTCTCCAACTGATGTTGCCCTTTGTACTTTACGTCTTATAACGTTTAAAACACTTGCCACGTAATACTGTGACCGTCCATCCTGGATTAAATTAATGGCTCTGGCAACATCAGTCGGAGACATATCCATTTTATAAAGTGAGAAGACACCTCAAAATTTAAACATTAATTTGCAAAAAACAATTTGATAGCTTTAGAAAGCCGTGTATGACATGTCCAAGTATGGGATGATTCAACAAAACTGTCACTATCATTCTCCATAGCCTATGGATGGACCATAGCAACCTTAGTTCTTCATACCGAAAAATATTGTAAATTGCAATGTTTTTTTAAAAAAATACATATTTTCCACAAAAATAAATATATCGAGGTGAACCAAAAACAAAACTGTTAAGAATAGATGTGACTTGATAAATAAAACTTAATTTAGAACAATATACGGTTTTGCCACTCTACAGAGTGTCTTAAACTTATGGTAAAAAACATCTTTTTGTTTAAACCTGGATATTATAAACGTACGTCTATTTTTTAGTATTTTTTTAAAATGTGAGCCATTGTCCATTAATTTATCTAGAATATTCTTTAATATTCGTTTAATTCGTATTTTGCACGTGAGTGTATTTCTCCGAAACTCCGAAATATTGTTCAAAACTTTGAATTTCGATGTTTTGAACAATATTTTGGAGGCCTTTTTTACCGTAAAAATACGGTAGATTTGTTTCTTTCAATGTCCCGTTTGTAGGAGGCAATAACGGCAACGCAAACTCAAACCATGACGACAGCAGATGCGAGGCAAAATCCCCGCATATGCGACCAAACCAAGACGCAAACTCCGCGATCGAGTTGTCGAACGATTCGACCGACTCGTCTACGAACGGAGCCAACGATCGTCCGAAAACGGACGACGATCTACCGAAACATCCTCCCGCTCGAATCTACCTTAAACAGGTAAACAAAAAATCAAACTTAAATATCGTTTTTTTAAGTGAACGGGTAACCCTGTATAATATATTTCATGCGGATATTAAAGTTAAGGATTAGGGCTACAATATATTTTTTGATTTTTTTAAATATCTTTATCATTAAGCGAGTTAAAGACATAACCAATTTTTTTCTCGATTAAAAAAATTTTCAAACTTAAAACCTAAATATCTTTTTTAAAAATTAACAGGCAACCCTGTATAATATATTTTATCCGGATATTAAAGTTTAGAACTAGGGCTACAATATGTTTTTTGATTTTTTAAAATATCTTTATCATTAAGCGAGTTAAAGACATAACCAATTTTTTTCTCGATTAAAAAAATGTTTAAACTTAAAACTTAAATATATTTTTTATAAATTAACAGGTAACCCTGTATAATATGTTTTATGCGGATATTAAAGTTAAGAATTGGGGCTACAATTTGTTTTTTGATTTTTTTAAATATCTTTATCATTAGGCGAGTTAAAGATATAACCAATTTTTTCTCGACTAAAAAAATATCTTTTTTATAATAGGTAACCCTGTATAAAATGTTTTATGCGGATATTAAAGTTAAAAATTAGGGCTACAATATTTTTTTTTTGATTTTTTTAAATATCTTTATTGTTAAGCGAGTTAAAGACATAACCAATTTTTTTCTTGATTAAAAAAATGTTTAAACTAAAAACTTAAATATCTTTTTTATAAGTTTACATGTAACCCTGTATAATATGTTTTATGCGGATATTAAACTTAAGGACTGGGGCTTTAATATGTTTTTTGATTTATTTAAATATCTTTATCAATAATCGAGTTAAAGATATACCCAAATTATTTTTTTTTAAATGTTTAAACTTAAAATTTAAATATCTTTTTTATAAGTTTACAAGTAACCCTGTATAATATATTTTATGCGGATATTAAAGTTAAGGATTAGGGCTATAATATGTTTTTTTATTTTTGATAATATTTTTATCAATAACCGAGTTAAAGACATAACCAATTTTTTTCTCGATTAAAAAAATGTTCAAACTTAAAATTTAAATATATTTTAAATAAGTTAACAAGTATGCCTGTATAATATATTTTATACGGATAATAAAGTTAAGGATTAGGGCTATAATATGTTTTTTGATTTTTTTAAATATCTTTATCAATAAGCGAGTTAAAGACATAACCAATTTTTTCTTGATTAAATAAAATTCAACTTAAAACTTACATATCTTTTTATAAGTTAGATATTAAAGTTAAAAATTTGGGCTACAATATGTTTTTTCATTTTTTTTTAATATCTTTATCATCAAACGAGTTAAAGCATACCCAATTTTTTTATCGAATAAAAGAATGTTCAAATTTAATACTAAAATATATTTTTTATAAGTTAACAGGTAACTTCGTATAATATATTTTCTGCGGATATTAAAGTTAAGAATTGGGGCTACAATTTGCTTTTGGATTTTTTTTAAATATCTTTATCATTAAGCGAGTTAAAGACATAACCAATTTTTTCTCGATTAAAAAAATATCTTATATTATAAGTTAACAGGTAACCCTGTATAATATGTTTTATGCGGATATTTAAGTTAAAAATTAGGGCTACAATATGTTTCTTCATTTTTTTAAATATCTTTATCAATAAGCAAGTTAAAGACATAACCAATTTTTTTCTCGATTAAAAAAATGTTCAAACTTAAATCTTTTTTATAAGTTAATATATTTAAAATTTTCAAAAAAATTGTAAATATATTATAAATATATATATATGAATAATATTAAGGTTAATATTATATATACATAGTCTATAAAATACTAATATAGTATATGTTATAAAAACAAATCTTGAAGAAAAAATTGGTTAAACTTTAAACACAAATATCTTTCTTAATACTAATAATATCTTAAAAATTAAAAAAATATATAACAGATACAAGTTTGCCAAACCAAAATCCGCAACTATTTTATATACAGGGTGTTTCACTGAAGTGAGACGCAGGAAAAACTAACTCGACGTTTTTTAGGACCTCGTAAATCCGGACAACTTAAAACCGGAACTACTCGTGCGTTTCGGGGCGGAAATGCCCGAGCGCAACGGCGAGACTACGAGCCAAAACGAACACGAAAACGACTGACATCAAATTGTAAGTGAACCGACTATATACACATAAAATAAACTTCAAAAAACTCATGGACAAGGTTTAAAATTTTAAGAGTAAAACAAAGTATAAAACGAAGCTGAGTACGTGAAATGTTGAATTAAATAATGTTTTGCGTTTATGCGCAGACGGCGAAGTTATGATGCGCAGACTGTTTGTTGGTATTTTATGGCGTAAAATTGTGCCAAACCAAAAACAGTTTAGATTTAGTTTAAAATTTGTTATATTATTATGATGTTATTGCAAGATTTAGTTCGGTGTTATTTCTTAAATTATTGTTGTTTTAAAAAAAATTAAAATTTTGTGATAACATTTTTTTAAGTAAATACCAATCGATTTTCGCATCATAATTTTGTCTGGTTGCTAAAAAATCAAAATAAATGTTGACGGTATTTGTTGAATATATTATTTATAATTTTTTTATAATATAATTAGGATTAGTATTTTATATGCATCAAAGCAGTGTTACCATTACTAACTAGGTGTCTCGATTTAAAATTTGCCAATTTTGTAGTATAGTCAAATTTATACATTCCAAAATGATTTTTTTCGAAAAAAAAAAAATTGGGGATCCCAAAATCGAACGGATTTAATTGTAATTGTAAGTAAAATGCCGTAGTTAAAAAATAAATTAGATAAATGAAAAAATATTTTTGATTAGGTTTTGTTTAAGTATTACATATCAAAATGCTTATTTGGGGGTGCCTCAGGGCGCCGTTCTAAGACCAACTCTACCTATACATTTCATGCCAAGTGTGTTTACCCTACTCTACGAGGTCCAAAAGTTATACATTATGAAAAAAAAGTTTGTTTTTTAATTTAAATACCTGTATATACATACGAGATCAAATTTGCAAAGTACCTTAAGTAGATTTTGTATATGAGTAGATTTAGATGATTTGAAATTTTTGTGCCTACTATTGAAAAAATGTGATAAACAGTTTTAAATTGTTAAGGTTTCGTTTTGGGATCTCCGGTTTTCCATAGAGCGATTTTTTCCACCCGTTTGGCTATACGACAAGAGGAAAAATCGTGTGTGTTTGTAAAAGTTGTCCAATGTGTATTTGGCCAAAATATCATTAATGTATCTAAAATTCGTAAATGTCGTAACGCGTAAGTTTTACATTTTATGTAACTGCTTTGATGAATAATATAAAAAGCGCAAAAATAACTGGGTCTAATTCGGCCGAGTTATTTTTGAGCTTGTGACCCATTCGGGGTAGTATAAAATATCCCAGAATTGAAAAATTATATCTATCTGTGATTTAATCAAAATTTTTTGATGTATATTTTCTCTAAAAATATCTTAAAATATTATATAAAATTTAAACATTTAGATTTAGAATTATTGATATAACGTTCGTCGGGGGTGGGGTCAATTTTACCCCCACTCCGTGAACTCGTTTTGTTTTCCTTTTTTTCATATAACAATTGAAGTGCAATTAGATGGTATATACATACATATATATTTACATCAATATTAAGTAGTATATAAGATATATTAAAATATATTATATATTTGAAAAAATGGAAGCTATTTTGTTTTTTGAGAGATAAAAGATTGACTTCAAGTGGTAGATATATACATGCTTTTTCCTCCCCGACCTGTTTTCAACAACCGTCAAAACTCACAACAAAAATAACCGTTTACCAAACCGATACCGACAGTTACAAAAAGTTGCCAGCAAGAAAATCCCCAGACGTTTTCAACAAATCCACACAAAAAATAGCATGGATTTTTTCGCCCAGATATCTTAGTTTAAATATATCTTGGTTATTATTGGTTACACAATAAAGTATATTGTATAAAAGTTTTAGATATTTAAATTTTTTACAAGAAATGTTATATTCATTTTTTGCGTAAAATAAACCATTAAGGTGCTATGAAATTTTCACAAAAATATATCTCGGATAAAAATTGTGTTTTAACATTCCAAAATGTGTTTTTACCATTCTAAATTGTGTTTTTGATACTTTGATAATTAATTTTAGTACCCCTTAATATTTTTTTATATTCCTAATCTTTTTGCATCATTCCTTGTAAATCTAAGTATTTTTTAAATATTTTTATTTATACTATTTCCTATTCTGTTTTTAACATTTTAAAATGTGTTTTGGCAATGTAAAATGTTTCTGACATTCTAAATTGTGTTCTTGAATTTTTTTACATTTAAATGGAGACATTATACGCTAAAAAACAATGAACAAAGTGAGCTATTCCCACACTAGTTGAATAATGAAAATATTGTTCCAGAAGTTGAATAATAAAAATATTGTTAAACTAATCAAACAATTTTCCAGGAAATTTCAGATTGTTAAGTTTAAGCTTTGCTAAGCTTAAGCTAAACTCAAGCCAAGCTTAAGTTAAAGCTTAAGCTTAAACTCAAGTTATATCTTAACTTAAGTTCAGCTTAAGCCTAATCTCGAACTTAAGCTTAAGCTAAGCCCAAGTTTAAGCTTAAATTAAGCTTGAGCTTAAGCATTAACTTAACAAACAATTTTCCAGGGAAATTCAGATTGTTAAGTTTAAGATAAGCTTAAGCTAAAATTAAGCTAAGCTTAAGATTGGGCTTTCAGCTTAAGTTATATTTTAGGCTTAAGCTTAAACTCAAGTTTAAGCTTAGCTTAAGTTAGCTAGTGAATTAAAACTTAAGCTCCGCTTGAGTCTAATCTTGAACTTACCCTTAAAATTCAAGCTTAAGCTTTAACTTAAGCCTAGCTTAAGCTTGAGTTTAAGCGTAAGTTCAAGATTAGACTTAAGCGGAGCTTAAGTTTAAGTTCACTAGCTAACTTAAGCTTGGCTTAAACTTGAGTTTAAGCTTAAACTTGGGTTTAAGCTAAGCTTATAATAATTTTATAATTTTAACTTAAGCTCAGCTTAAGCCTAATCTTGAAGTTAAGCTTAAACTCAAGCTTAAGCTAAGCCCGTCAGAGCCTAAACGCAAGCTTAATCTTAAACCCAAGCTTAATTTAAGGTTACACTTGAGCTTAAACCTAAGCTTCAACTTAATCCTAAACTTAAGCTTAAACTTAACAAAATTATATGCACGCGCCTTACGACGAATGTTCGTCAAAATCCATTTTCTCCACTTGTCGCACAATATACTATTATTCTTTCATATAAATACTTTAAAGATATATCTTATGTTTTTCAATAAAAATCAAAGTACAATAAATGAAAGATATTTTCGAAAAAATCCATCATATTTTTCGTCAGAGACAGTTAAAGTGTCTGAGTAAAGAAACCAATAGTGGTGACTTTCGGATTTTTGTGTTGGCATCCATCAAAACCAAACCAGATTACAGAAAAACAAAACACATATTTCAGTTGGACCAATGCTGTATGTTTGTATATATACAATGGTATGCTTTCTTCATACATATCTAGTGGAAGAGTCGCAATATTTTTTTGAAAAATTCTGTGGCTCATTCATTAAAACAAAAAACATTCCAACCATATATGTGCCAGATTTTTTATTATGACAGATATAAATTTGTGATCTCCGTTCTATAACAAAGACACTGTAGATCATAAAAGCATTTTTTCTAAAAAAAAAGTACAGATAAACTTCGTGTTATTAGTTTTCTCGAAGCTGTGTGGCTTCAAAATAGAAATAAGGATTTATAAAAATTAAACACTGTTTTTATTGATAAATGTCTGTATGTTTCACGCGCTTGCGCATTTTCGCATATATACCGTTTTTGAGTTTTTTGTCAGAAAAAGTCCACAAAAATGTACAAATCGAAATAGATTACCTCCAATAATAAAGCCAAATGTTCATTTTATCGCTATAACTGAAAAAACAATAATAAAATGATTTTTTCAGTTGTCGCGGTAAAGTCTATTTTCATTAACACAAACGCAAAACCTTTGATTTTTGTGTACATTTTTGTAGATGCCGTTTAATGTTCAGGCTTATAGATGTTAACAATAGTCGAATTATTTGTCTTCATTTCATTTTGATGTGATATATTTTTAAAGACACCGATGTTTCGTTTTCGTACATTATAATAATTATAATGTAATTATTATCTAAGCGAGGTCCAAGTGTAAATTTTTACAGTGTATCAAGATAACCTTAAAGTATACGCAAGATATATTCAAAATATTTTTATGTATGTGTAAAATCTCCCAAATGTTATTATTATCTATATAATTAAAAAATAAAATATACTTTTGTTGTACTACGCGTTTGAACGCGTAAATGTTATTATTATTATTATTATTATGTTTATTATTGTGCACCAGATGAGTCAGTATTTTATTTGAAAAAATATACAGGGTGCTCTATATCAATCGTATGGAGTATTTTGTAGGACCAAGGTCTTTTAATTTATTTCGACTACTTATCATTCCACGATTTAAAGCTTTTTCACAACTATGAGACTATAGTTTAATTCCTAAATATATTTTTACATACACCCGTAATTTTAATGATTTTTATATCAAACGTATTTGTTAAATAATTTTTAGTTGTCTAGCCGTAGGATTTACTTAATTAAGTTTTTTGCTTTAAGATACCTTGTAAATAGTTTTTCAGCGAACTTGGTGTTGTGCGAGCTGAAAAAAATTGATGATAAAGTTAAAAATGTTGGTTTTAATAATTGTTTGTATACATATTTTTTTCTTGACAAGCAACCATATTAAACAATAGAACAGTTTTCCACATTAAATGGTTTTGATGAGGTACCGACTATTTCTTACGTTGCAATATTGCGGTGCAGTTTTGTCGTTTTGGCACCACTGTATAGATTCTCGGCGGACCAGTATTTTCACGTTTGCAGTATAATTATTCCAGTATTACCACACCAACAAAAAATCAACTGATAAAGGTCCGTCTCGATGAAAAAAAACGACCGAATTCATGTCTAGATTTTTACATGTAACTACATTAAATAGTAAGTAGATTTGTCAATACGTTTTGACGCATACAGTACAAGGTTAGTTTTTAAAGTTTCCCCCACTAAATAAGAGTTTGTTTTTTGTAAATGGTACACTAATCAAATGGTGATGGCACTCTCCCGCTACCAAAATCAACCGAAAAAACTATGCAGTCTTCCCTACAAAAAGATGCATACTTATCTACTGGAAAATCACTAAATAAATAATTAAATGTGATATTTTTTTAATATAATGTGTTTACTGATTGAAATAGAACAGTAAAGTAAAAGAAATCGGCAGTAAAGTAGAGAGAATTGTATGCAAGCCATTATACATTTTAAGATGTGTCTACTGCTCCTCAGCAGCAACTAAATAATATTTATTTATAAAAACTCTGCACTGATTATTTATTTTTTACTTTTCTTCCGTAAATAAGCAACTTTTTGTCGAGACGACTAAGTTTTTCGCATCGTTTGAGGCTGGCTAGCAAATTTAACAGACATAGATTTAGGATCTAGTGATAGGAAATTAAAAAATAGTGTAGTGAATTTAAAGTTAGGGCAGAGCGTACTTCATCAAAACCATAGCAAACGAGCAGTCTCACAGAACATAAAAATATTACAGATACTCATGGCATATTTAAAATAAATGAACATTGATAAAATTACAGAAAAAAACATGTTAAAGAATTGTGATAGGTTCTAGGCATATACTTGTTATAAAAGTCCAAATAATTTTGCAAAGTGAAAAAACATTTTGGGCTAACGTACTATATACATATAAGTGTTCCAAACACTATAATGAAACGTTCTACTTTTGAAAAAAGTAGATTTACTTATAAACGAAATTGTTTTTTCTTAAGCCTAAATAAAATATTTAAATATTTTTTTCGTAGAAACACCCAAGTGTCTTCTAAATATTATTTTTGGTTCTATCTAGTCAAAATTTAAGATTATTGAAAAAATTAAAGTAAAAATTGTGATTGGTATCGTCAAGACTGAGAAAGACTTTTAAAAAGTACGCAAAATTGTAGTAAAAATTTGAAAATATGCCATAATTAATAAATAAATAAATTTAATTTTGAGTTAGTTATGCAGGGACCAAAATAACATACTAACAGATCCATATCCAAAATATCAAAATCTATGTGAAAGAATATCAAAAAATTCTTATTATTATTATTATTATTATCATGATTTTTTCGTAGCGTATAGCAAACTTTTTGTCAAAATATTTGAAAATGGTGCAATTTTTTATTTATAATTTTAGAACTTTATATTTGGCAAAATGTTTGTTGTAAAATTTGTATAGTTATATAAATATATATTTTTTATTTTATATAAATAATTCAATTCTTTGACAATATGTTAGATTTAAATTAATTTTGCGCAAAAATTATATTGCAAGGCAAAATAATTTTTGTGCCTGTATCTCATATTATAAACATGTGACTAAATATTGCCTTTTAGCTGAAATATATTCTATCATTCTGTTGTATTTCTATGTAAAGATCAAATAGCGGATATTTTTGCCAAATATACGATTAAAAATTCGCAAAAAAACTTCCACAACCTGCCAAAACCGAAACTTAACACTTGTATTTATTTTTTACAAAATTAATTTTCATTGATTCAATATTTTGGCAAGTTGTGCAAATACGTCTGCCATTTTTTCTTAAAAAATACGACATATGTAATAACTGTGTAAAATCATGTTTTATTATAAAAGTTTGATGTTTGAACAATATTTGCTTTGTGGGAAATTGTTATTTTCAGAAAATATTTTAAACCACAAAAATAAAAAAAAATACCATACACATTGTATATTTATAATGTAATTCTGAAGTATACCAGTATTTATTATACTGTGGACTACATTAAAATGTTTAAGAGACTTTTATTTTTTCAACCCCATTTCCCGCTCTTTCCAATGGATTCCTAATTTTATTTTTTTTTAGCCTTTAACATAGATATTTAATTAAAGGTACATTAAAATATTGATTTTACATTGTACAATAAGTTTTATTGTCAAGAATCAATAATACAAAATATATAGTTATAAAAACCTATTGACATAGCACACAAGTATTCCAAGGTCCACAAACCACAGTGGACTCTAAAAACTCACTAAAATCATGGAGGTAAGTAAAGTCGAAAAAATCACAGGCCTCGTCGTCTTTTAGCTGCTTATATTTGTTCCAACCGGCACCAAAAAGCTTTTTGTTGTCTGAAAACGCAAAAATTACAAACAAAACATTCGCATAACCTAAAAATCAAGTTACCCAATAAAACAACCGTATGTCGACTTCCGCATGCCAACGTTGCCACGTTTACCTCCCCGGGAAAGTCGACTAAACACGGGGTGGAACTAACGGCAACCATGTCTGATTTTTTTAAACCCAGTTGGCCGTTGGAGTTCCATCCCCAAACGTAGAGGTCGCCTGTGTCGCTTACTGCGCAGGAGTGCCAATCGCCGCAAGAAATTTGCGTTATTTTTATTCCTGCTAGAGCGTTTAATAGCAGGGGATTTTCAAGGTCGTCGAGGTTGCCGTGCCCCAATTGGCCTCGGCTACAATTTGTTGGTTAAATTTAGGGATTTTATTTTTTTGTTGTTGTACCTATTACCTGCCTCTACCGAAAGAGTAAATGTCGCCTTTTTTGGTTAAAAGTAAGCAGTGTTCTCTACCGCATTTGATGTCTTTTACATCGGCTATTTTTACGTTTAATTTGTTCAGGTTGTTAAAAATATAACCCTCTTCAGAATAGGCTACAAAAAGTTTGGCCCCACTGGCTATTTTTACTACTTTATCGTTATCACTTAACCCCAGATTCATTATTTTGCTTAATTTAATATCTTTATCATTTAAGTTAACTTTACAGACACACCCTAAATCTCCCAACATAAAAACCTTATCATCTGTCATACTAACATCAACAGGGTTTAAATTGTTTATACCTAACTTATTAAAATCACTTTCTCCATACCCTGTACACAAAAAATGCTCTCCATTTTTAACAACACAACATGTTTGATTTAACCATACCCTGCTGACATTCTCTCCTCGAAAAAACTCATGGAATTGCTCTATTAATACTTTATCACAGGACACCTGCTTATATAGATTAAAACCACGAAAAAACACAAGCATTGTATCGATTAAATACCTAATAATTGTGTTGACATCAACCCACACCACACGGTTGTATTGTTGCGTCTTTATTTTTACAATTACTGTGATAGTTTTAGCAATTCGTTAACAAATTAAGTCAAAATATTTAATATTATGGTGAGTACCTTCTCTATCTGTAAGTTAACTTGTGATTTAGGGCTCTATACCGAGTTATTTCGTGTTTTATTCTTCAAAAGTTCACTTGACGTTTATCGGAGTTTCAGACGGTCGCCATAGTGACCGCAGAATACCAACATTATAAAACCAAGCACAGCGCACTCTGTTTTATAGCACAAGCTTCGGCTATTGTTGCACAGATGGCGCAACCGATAAGTTTCCGATATTTTTGATTTTTAAGGGTTTACTGTCGATTTTAAGAAAACTAAGGGCCGCCCCAGAGCGAGAATTAAGATTGTTACTGTTGGGTTTGGATAATGCCGGCAAAACGACGATTTTGAAGACGCTAGCGTCCGAAGATATATCCCAAATTACCCCAACAGCAGGTTTTAATATAAAATCTGTGGTTTCTGAGGGTTTCAAGTTGAATGTTTGGGATATCGGCGGACAGAGGAAGATACGGCCCTATTGGAAGAATTACTTTGAAAATACTGATGTTTTGGTGAGTGATTGGAAAAAAATTATTACAAATGGGGTAGTTAAATTTTTTTTGACCTATACTTTTTATGGTTTTATTCAAGGCGTTTTGTAATATTAAACATTTCTGTGAAATCAGAATTTCAATTGAGTTTACCGTTTTCGAGATATTTACAAAAAATATAAATTTTTATGACGTCACATTCTAAGATTTCTATTGGTTGAAAATTACCCTGTTGTCAAGTTGTCTTGTTAATGATTTCATTCGGTTATGTCAGAAAATACCCGAAGAGGTTTTGTACAAATACTGTCACTGTCAGTTGAGTGAAAGATGGTCACCAAATTCATTAAGTACCTATCTTCCTTATTACGAGGTATCATATTACTGTTTGATATTTTAGAGTCCAAGATATATCTAAAAGAATATAAAGAACTAGGCATTATACGAGCCCTAACCACATAATGTTCGGACACTTCATAATTTATACAGAAATTTTTTTCGGGAATACTATCTCAAAATTATTAGAAGTTATGAAAAATTCAGCTTATTTTGGCATATACCCCTCGAAGCAATTTTTATTTTTTAAAAGTTTACCTTTTATTTTTAGCTTTTAAAAAAAGGCTAACTTTTTAACTTTTTTTTGTATGAGTAAAAAAAGTTATAAATGGACCCATTAAAAAGAGCATAAAATATTATACAAACCCTGAAAATTTGGTAAAAAATAAATAAGTTATAAAAAAGTATAAGTAATTTAAAAATGCTATTTTTAAAGAGTTTTTGCAATTTTCTTAGGAAACGGGAGATTTTGCAGATATATATATCGCTATAACTTTCTTATTATTTATACAATTTTTACCAAATTTTCAGGGTTTGTATAATATTTTATGTTCTTTTTAATGGGCCCATTTATAACTTTTTTTACTCATGCAAAAAAAAGTTAAAAAGTTAGCCTTTTTTTAAAAGCTAAAAATAAAAGGTAAACTTTTTAAAAATAAAAATCGCTTCGAGGGGTATATGCCAAAATAAGCTGAATTTTTCATAACTTCTAATAATTTTGAGATAGTATTCACGAAAAAAATTTCTGTATAAATTATGAAGTGTCCGAACATTATGTGGTTAGGGCTCGTACTAATGAAATGCATTTACGACAAAATATGATTATAATTATAGGTACTTACTTTATTTGTTTAAAAGCTCCAATGTTCAATGTAACCAACCATTCCACAAGATTCCTCTGCTTTGGAGTCCGTTATTAATAAATCACTTATCTAATATCAATTACAAATAACATAACAATAACATTGATTTTCAATAATCTAAATTTAAAAAAAACATAACCCAAAAAAAAGAAACGTCAAAAAATCAATTCTTCTTCTTCTTCTCAACTAAAATTATAGATCAAGTGGTTTTAAAACTAAAATATTATAACGTGGCGCCATCTATCGTAAGAATCTTAAACTAAACACACTGGCAACCATAGAAAAGCTGGCAACGTTGTCAATAGCCTAGTGACGTAATTATTAGATTTTTTTTTGTAAATATCTCGAAAACGGTAAACTCAATTGAAATTCCGATTTCTCAGAAATGTTTAAAATTACAAAACGCCTTGAATAAAACCATAAAAAGTGTAGGTCAGAAAAAATTTAACTACCCCATTGTTATCTGGGCACCTTTTTAGATATACGTGGTGGATTCTGGAGACAAAAAGCGTCTGGAAGAGACGGGAATCGAACTCTATGAACTCCTAAGCGACGACAAACTAGAGGAAGTTCCGCTGTTGGTGTACGCTAACAAACAAGACTTACCGCAAGCCCTAACGGCAGCAGAATTAGCCGAAGCCTTGGGCTTACCCTCGATAAAAGACCGCGCCTGGCAGATACAGGCGTGTACTGCTAGCGAGGGCAAAGGCGTGCGTGAGGGGATGGAGTGGGTGTGCAAAAGCATCAAGAAAAGATGAGAATTCGGATACCACTAAATTTTGTTGTCCTTTTCAAATCTTGTTTTTTTTTATCAATTTTAATGTAAAGTGAAATTTTCAATTACATACAAAATATCAAATAAGAATTTTTATTTTGCCAATTAAAAATATCATGGCAGATATTTTTAATTTAAATTTAAATTTAAATCTAATTAGATAAAAAGTTTGGTCACCCCTGGTATTCCAAACTAATTCTGTCGCTAGATGGCAGCACAAGCACGTTAGTTCATATACTTACCACGGTAAGTACAAAAAAAAATATTAAAGAATATTGTAGATACATTAATGGAGAATTTTAAAAATTACTAAAAAATACACGTACGTTTATAATATACAGGTTTAAACAAAAAGATGTTTTTTACCATAAGTTTAAGACACTCTGTAGAGTGGCAAAACCGTATATTGTTCTAAATTAAGTTTTAATTATCAAGTCACATCTATTTTTAACAGTTTTGTTTTTGGTTCACTTTGATATATTTATTTTTGGAAAAATATGGATTTAAAAAAATTAATATTACAATTTCCAATATTTTTCCTGTATGAAGAACTAAGGTTGCTATGGTCTATTCATAGCCTATGGAGGATGACAGTGACAGTTTTGTTGAATCATCCCATACTTGGACATGTCATATACAGCTTTCAAAAGCTATCAAATTGTTTTTTGTAAATTAATGTGTTAATTTTGAGGTTTCTTTTTTTAAAAATGTCTCCGACTGATGTTGCCCTTTGTACTTTACTTCTTGGGACGTTTAAAACACTCGCCACGTAATACTGTGACCGTCCATCCTGGATTAAATTAATGGCTCTGGCAACATCAGTCGGAGACATATCCATTTTTTAAAGTAAGAAGACACCTCAAAATTTAAACATTAATTTGCAAAAAACAATTTGATAGCTTTTGAAAGCCGTGTATGACATGTCAAAGTATGGGATGATTCGACAAAACTGTCACTGTCATTCTCCATAGCCTATGGATAGACCATAGCAACCTTAGTTCTTCATACAGAAAAATATTGTAAATTGCAATGTTTTTTTTTAAATCCATATTTTCCACACAAATAAATATATCGAGTTGAACCAAAAACAAAACTGTTAAGAATAGATGTGACTTGATAAATAAAACTTAATTTAGAACAATATACGGTTTTGCCACTCTACAGAGTGTCTTAAACTTATGGTAAAAAACATCTTTTTGTTTAAACCTGAATATTATAAACGTACGTCTTTTTTTAAAATGTGAGCGATTGTCCATTAATTTATCTACAATATTCTTTAATATTCTTTTAAATCCGACATCCGACAAAAAGTTATTTGCTATTGAAATTCATCGAAAATTTTTGTGGATCGATTATTTTGCCTGTGAGTGTATTAATTCACAGAATAAAATTCTTATGTTCTATTTTTTATCAAATTGAAAATATCACTCTAGGGTTATATAACCCATAAAATTAATTTTGGTTTTGTAATTAGGCTGAGAAGAAATTTGTCCGTCCACTTAACTCTTAATATTAGATTAATTTTTTTAAAAAAGAAAATAAATTACATAATTATAATCATTTCAGAATCGTTTAACTTTCTTATCATCATCATTAAGCTGTAAAAGTAAAAGTAGTCCAATATTACTTAAATTAATAAAATTTATTTCTCATAACATAACAACTTATATAACACTTAAATCTATAAACACTTTTGTAATCAATTTTATTTATTTTAAATTTAAACTAGACCTCCTCAAAGTTCAGCCCAGTCCCTCTGGTATTCTCCTCTATCCACTTGTCGAACTTCTCCGCCATTTCTTCAGACATAACGTTCTTCCAGTCCCCAACTATCCCCTTTCTGATGAAATGATCACCACTTCTCTTGTAGTAATTCTTCCCCTTCCAGGTGTCAATGAAAACCTCCAAATTGCAAGCCTTATTCTCGCGCATATTACTAAAACTCAAAAACTCCTTTATATCACCAATTTCTTTCTCCGTAACATTCTTCCCAAGATGTTCGGCTATCTGCCTGATCGTCCCAGCAGAATCCTTCTTCATGTCTTCGTATTTCAACACTAAAATATTTTCATCGTGGCGTTTGTTCCAGAAGCCCAGGTAGTGGCTCCACACCGAGCCCATCGGGGTTGAGTCGTCCAGGAATAAGTCGCAGAAATCCTCCAATGGTATGCTCAGGTCGTGGAAAATTCTGCAGTAGTGGTAGAATGAGATGATCATGTCCTTTGGGTTTCTCATGGTACAAATGATCTAAAAATGTTTTAGGAAGGAAGCCCTGATAGCAAAATTTGATTCTAAGAATCTTCTAAGAAGATATGACCCGAAATAATGGAATATTCTTAGAATCTTCCCTTATTGCTAAGAATGTTCTTAGGGACTATTAAAACATTCAATAGATACCCTTTTAATGATGCAATTAGATTCTTAGAAGCTTCTTAAAACCTTCCTAAAAAGCATTCTAAAAACATTTTAAGAATACGTTTTTGGAATGTTCTTAGAAGGTTTCTTATAGATACCCACGTTCTAATATGTTCATAAAAAGTAAAATTGGAAAATTTTGTGGGATAAGTCAGATAATCTTGTAAAGTTGAAGATAGTTAGGATTATTATACATAAAAATGTTAATTCAGATATATAAAATCGGTATACAAATTAATAAATATTTATTTTTAACATAAAATAAAATATAAAAAAACAAAATATTTCCTTATAAAATAATTCTTTATAAAAGAAAAAACCAAATAGTTCTTCATAAAAAAACAATTTTCATTTTATTTAAGTTGGATAGAAGATTTTATGTAAAAGCCGGATAATTTAGATACCTATAGTAAAAGTATTTTTGTTATCGAATATTGTTTTAATTTGACAAATAACTATAAAAAAATATTTTGGGTTGTGTTTTTTACTTAGTATTTAATACTAAGTATGGGTAGATTATGGTATATTTTACTATTATATAGGTACCTAACTGAACTGAATATGCTTAACAGAATGTTCCAGGAATATTCCTAAATAAACTTTTTATAGCAATTACTTTCTCAACATTCTAAGCATATGTTTAGAGTGGATTAATTTTAACCAACAAAACTTTGCACCTTCTAAGAACCTGCCTATAGGCCAGTGAGAATATTCTTAGGATTATTCTATATTTCTTTTAAGCATGTTCTTTAGAAGAAATATAGCATGATCCTAAGAATATTCTCACTGGAAGGTTTAAAAAACATTCTTAGAACATGACTAGAAGAAATATAGCATGATCCAAGAATATGCTCACTGGAAGGTTTAAAAAACATTCTTAGAACATGACTAGAAGAAATATAGCATGATCCTAAGAATATTCCTACTGGAAGGTTTAAAAAACATTCTTAGAATAAACTGCAGCACATGTGCTATCAGGGAGGTATGATATGATATGATTTGTTACCTTAGGTTTGACCTTATCCAGCTGTGTAGGAAGTAAATCCAATGGTAAATGACTTTTGATAAACCGTGGTGACTTCATTTTGTCAACAAATTCCACAGTGTCATTAAAAGGGAATAGTTTTTGCAATACATCTTTGTGTTGGAACATCAGGGAGGATAATCTAAAAAAATAATGAAGTTACACTTTGCTTTTGAAGATGCCAACATCGTTGGAGAAAAGTATTTTGTTTTGGTGTTGGGGAATATTTCTAATATTTGTTTAGATACTTACTCCAAAAGTGGGGCCCTAATTTGCTGTGGCAATGTCTGAGCCGATTTAAAGTCCAAATCGTTCCCCAAGAGCCAGATCATTTCTTGGCACCACGTGGAACCTTGAAAATATAATTTAAACGTGGTACCACAAAAAATTGTTTTGTTTTTGTGTTACCTGTTCTCGGAAAACTGATTAACCAGATATCATCCTCCCTAACATCAAAACTCAAAATCCTTTCGGCGAATAGGGTGTGGCTGGGCGGTAATAGGCATTTCCCGGGGTTGAACTCCAAAAAGGAGTTGTCCCGACCAAATGCCTTGTCGATTTTTTTGGCGTTTTCGCTCTCCATCTTTTTAGCGGTGTACCCAGCCATCTCAAGCGGTTGCTCTTGTTTTCAGCACTTTCACCTTTCGTCGTCGAACTTGATATTGCATGCAACTGCAGTTTGTTCCGTTTAACCGTTGACTCGGAAGTTCGGCTTGCGACTGACTGGCTTAGAAATTTCCTGTTGCTTTAATAAAATAGTTTGGCTGCTTTCTACTTCATGGAGCATTTACGGCAATTATTATTTAATTTTTTTTTTTGAGATTTAATCACATAATGACGCACTTTACAATGTTGCATAAAATTTAAATAATACAGGGACTAAAGTAGTAAATTTAAGTATTTGTTACGTATATGGGACTATTAAAGAAACTTAAAGTGTTTTGCGACAGTCGCCGGTCTCTTTATATTACTCTTTCATTACTAAGTTACGACTAAAGTGGGGAACAATTATTGAGTTCCAAAAAGGTAGCAAATATGTCACTAGCTATAAACCCTGCTACTATTTGGAACGTAGCTGCTACGTTACTAGAACGTTTCAATATCGTTGCTAGAGCGTTATAATTACTTCTTTTTTTACTTCTATATTAACTGTCTTTGTCAAACTTATATTAGATTAGACTATTCCTCCTTTTTTAAATGTCGTCGTTTATTAAATATGTACTGGTAGCTTATAACTTCCAGAATAACAATATAATGTTTAATTAGGCAGGTAAATTTATAAACCCTTTAAATTTTACTGTTGAACTTCATCACTATTTAAGTATAAACAAATTATTTATTTAATAATGTTTATAAATAAAAAAATCTTAATATTTAATATTAATTTTTTATTTAATTACTAATAACAACAAAATTACTATTTATTAAAAAGTAAACAACCATTTACAAACAATTAAAATAGTTTATTATTTACATTACCACGTAGTACTGTACAGTAAAAAATGACCGATAAGAAGCATTTTCCTTTGAAGTAGTTTTCGCTACTTTAAAGTTTTTTTCACCTTAATTTACTTTACGGTAGTTTTGGTTAGTACCATAAACGTTTCAAATACTAAAATGATAACTTTTAAGTTATTAACTTTGTAGTTTTTAACCCATGTTCCAGTTTCGAGATTTTAACTTGCAAAGGGACTACAATATAAAAATAATTAAAATGTATTCTTTAGGTAGCCACCGAAAGTAACTGCTACAAATTAAATTTACTTGAAAGTTTTTTTTACTTACACCTTTTTTAAATTTGCAAAGTCTTCTTGGGGGCAACAAAGTTTTACTTAAATGTTTAATACTTTATAGTAACCATTTAAGAAAATAATGAAGTTTCTGTTACAAAATATTACTTTTAAGTAAAAAATAAAGTAGCTGTTTAGTATACTTAACTAAATTAAAGTTATCACCACTTTGGTAATGGTTTTTGGAACCAAAAATGCTGCTTGGGTAAAATTAACTTATGTCGTCTTACTTCCAGTTACAAGATCTTTATTTTTTTCTGTCAATTATTTTTGCTTTTTTTATCAGATATAGAACGCAGAGTAGGTAGAATTTTGTGAAGTTATGTGTAAGCCCATAATACAAAATAAAATATTTGAAAACAGGTTAAAAAATCATGAGAAATCTTTTATTAAAAAAATAGACAACAATAAAACAATTCATTAAAAAACAAAAACAAATTTATGAGGTAGAAAACAAAAAATACACAAAACATAACACATAACATCTTAAATTTCCTCGAAGGTCAAATCAGTTCCCCTTGTATTCTCCTCAATCCATTTATCAAATCTTTCAGACAATTCATGGGACATGTAATTTTTCCAATCCCCAACGATGCCTTTTCTGATAAAATGCTCTCCAGTGCGTTTGTAGTAGTTTTCCCCGTTCTTTTTGTCGATGAAATCCTGTAGGTTGCAACCCTTATTTTCCCTCATTTTGTTGACGGTTAAAAACTCACAGAGTCGGTCCATGTCACTGTCACTCAACGGTTTTTCCAAGTGATCGGCAATTTTACGTAGCGTACCTCTGATATTTTTCTTCATTTCTTCGTATTTAAGCACTAGGACGTTAGTTTCATGACGTTTATTCCAGAAGGATAAATAATGGTTCCACACCGAACCCATAGGTAGTGCATCATTGAGAAAAAAATCGGCAAAAACCTCAAAAGGCATGGACAAATTATGAAACATCTGACAGTGATGGTAATACGACACACACATATCCTTAGGATTCCTCAACGTATAAATAACCTAAAAAACAACTTTTAATTAACACAAAAACAATCCCAAACAACAATCTCACCTTAGGTTTAACCTTATCCAACTGATACGGCAACAGTTGCAAGGGTAAATGACTTTTGATAAACCTAGGCGAAGGCATATTCTCCACAAAATCTATGGCGTTCGATGTCGATAGTAGATCTTTTATGGATTCCGCGAACTCGAACAAAACTGTCGACATCCTAAAAATACAATGAAAAAGAAAACGGTAAGTTTTTGCGATTAGGTAAGTGAGTTTTAAGATACGGTAAGTGAGTTTTAAGATACGGTAAGTGAGTTTTAAGATATGGTAAGTGAGTTTTAAGATACGGTAAGTGAGTTTTAAGATACGGTAAGTGAGTTTTAAGATATGGTAAGTGAGTTTTAAGATACGGTAAGTAAATTATTTTAATTTAATTTTAAAATGAGGTAATTTTAAGAAGGTTTGTTGTTATCTTAATATAAGGTATGTGTGATACAGATGATGAATTAGTAAAAATGTATTCGGTATATTTAAAATGAGATAATTAATTGTTTCGATTACACAAACATGTTGTTCCATTTTATTGCATTTCCTGGTCGATTACCACTAAGTGGAATTGGTGTGGATTAAATCGCGGAAATTAATCGAGATTTTACGTAAACCTTTATAAAAATATAAATATAAAAATGCACTTATATCACAAAAACAAGGATAAAATCTCGAGCAAAGTTATAAAATGGTCAGAAATGTAAGTGATAGTGAAAATGTTTTGTGGTGTTAAGTTTAGGAAGAAAAAAAGTGCTGATAAAAAAGGTAATTTTTTTACTTACTCAATTAAAGGTGCTCTGAATTGTTGGGGGGTATTTTGAGCGGTTTCGAAATCCAAATTGTTTGATATAAGCCAGATCATTTCTTGACACCATGTTGAACCTTAAATTAATGAAAAACGTTAATTTTTTAAAAGTGAAAGATTTTTTTTGTAAGAACTATTAATAGTATCATAAATTTGTAATGATCATAATTATGTATAGAAAGTATTAATTGAATGCAATCAATTTAAGATGTATAATAAATATTACCTGTTCTGGGAAAACTTATCAGCCAAACATCATCATCCCTGACGGGGGCATCAATAATCCTTTTGGCATCAGAGGCAAAAAAGGGCGGTAACAAGCATTTTCCGGGGAACTCGTATAACGCGTTTTTGACACCCACTAAGTCATCAAATTTTTTACCGTACTCGCCCTCGAAAGGCTTCACTACCAACGACATGTTTCCACGGAATACTAAACAAAAAAATCACAACTCAGTAACAGTGCATTCCGTGAGTGGTGTTACTCGACTAGACCGACGTTTAAAGAGTACTGAGCGGGTTAAGCTTGAAAAATGTCGTTTTAAAATTTCCCCACGTGCTCTTTTGAGCGTCTGGTGAAGAAGTGTGGCAATGTTAATACTTTCTATTCACTGAACATCGATATGTATGCTAATTTTTAGTGTTTTCGCAGAATTATTGCACACATGGTTCAATTCAAAAACATTGGTTTAAAATAAATAAAAATTTGTATTTATGAAATTATTATAGGTACCTAGTAATTTTAAGTTATTATATTTAAATAGAATTTTGACAATTTAATCAAAATGTTCTTTTTTTTGCTGATAATATTTTGATATAAATAACAGGTAAAAATCAATAAATTAAAAATCGACGAAAAATTTAAAAATACTACAAGGTGTTCCTGAAATGCCTGTACATAATTTAAATTAAATATATTAAATTTTGTGCATATACGTTTGTTTTTTCCAAAGTTATTTAATAAAATCTAAAACGAAGTTTCAACTTTCACAACCTCTATCTTGGTTATTATCAACTTTAGTATACAGGAAAATTTAGTTATATCGCATTATTTTGGGTTTTTGGAATATGTGATATTTTTTACAGGCATTTCAGGAAATTAATTAAAATTGTATAAATTTTATAAAATACCTACTGAATCAGTAGTACTGATACGTTTTTTTAATTATTTTTTTAATTTAAGTTTAAGCATTTAAAAAAATGTATTTGGTTTTTTAATTTATACTCGTATACTTCCCTTGCATTCAAATTTAGAAAACACAGATATTTCGGAAACTGTTTGAAAAAGTGACTGGCCCGGTCTGGAATAGTATATTTATTATATTATCTATCATAACAAAATACTGTTTAATTTTCTCCGAAAACTATATAAACAAAATGAGGTCAAAAGTTGACCAACTTTTGTAGAATCACCCATATATAACTTAAAAAAATAAGTAGGTTTTTTACAAAAATATTTGAATAAAAAGTGTAATTTCAAAAATAAAAATTTTTTATAAAACATAAAAACTGAAAAAGTAAGTAATGCATACAATACAATTACTATAAAATTATGCTTAAAAGGATTTGGAACCCTGTAAACAAACATATCATCTTTAGGTATATTGTTTTTAAGTATATTTTTACATTAACCCCAATTCTTAGTAGGTAAAGGAATTCCTTTCAAAAGTTTCACTTTCACAAACGGACATCTTCATTTGGTGTCAGGATATTGTATAACACCCACTACCAAAACAAAAATTGTTCTACATTCAAAAACAATTATTACTAATGTACTTCACTACTTTAACTTACATTACCTAACTTAAAATACAATAAATTCATGTTATATTAATATCCATGAAACAATTTTTTCATTCTTAAAGTTTCTACCTAAATGTCATTGAAATTGGATTTACCTAAATAATATTGCCTTGTACTTGTTCAAATACCAAAAATACGCAAACAAAATGTTTAAATTAATTTCTGTGCAGCATCTTCAATATTATAAGATATTTTGCTCGAGACAAACTTTCTACTGGTCAAACTTGTTTTGTAAAAGAATTCCCTCCTGAATCATAACTTGGGCAAGTGCAATAATTATCGCTTATTAGCGAAATGGAAAAATACTTGATTTTGAAATAAATCGAACTTTACAAAAAAAAATATTATAGAATATTATCTAGATTCTAAGAGGTAAGAAATCAGTCATTCGTACAATGTCTCATGGTTAAACTAATTTATATTTCCTTTTTTAATAAAGTATAATATTTTTGGTTAACCTAAAACAATTACGAAAAAAATATATAAATTGATTAAATTTCTATTGCGTAGATAAGTTCACTATACGTTTTTTAATCTTTTCAAGTTTGAAAGATACAGAAAGATAAAAATAATTTTTAAAAATTCAATTTTTTATGAGTGAAATAGCTATGCTATAACAGTGGAAAAAATAGAAACTTGATGACATTACTATCCCTGATAGCACACTTTATTCCAAGAATGTTTTTAAACCTTCCAGTGGGAATATTCTTGGGATCATGCTATATTTCTTCTAAAGAACATGCTTAAAAGAAATATAGCATAATCCTAAGGCCTATAGGCAGGTTCTTAGAAGGTGAAAAGTTTTAGTGGTAAAAATTAGTCTGCTCTAAACGTATGCTTAGAATGTTAACAAAGTAATTGCTATAGAAAGTTCATTTAGGAATATTCCTGTTAAGCATATTTAGTTCAGTTACCTATATAATAGTAAAATATACCATAAACTACGTACTATACTTAAGTAGGTACCTAATTAGTAATTAGTATTAAATACTAAGTAAAAAACACAATCCAAAATATTTTTTTATAGTTATTTGTCAAATTAAAACAATATTCGATAACAAAAATACTTTTACTATAGGTATTTTATTTTATGTTAATAATAAATATTGTATACCGATGTTTTATTTCTGAATTAACATTTTTATGTATAATAATCCCAACTATCTTCAACTTCAATCTAATCTGACTTATCCCACAAAATTTTCCAATTTTACTTTTTATGAAATTATGCCATAAAACTTTAGAGGTCAAATTGTTTATTTAATATTTTTAAATAAATATATATTATGTCGCAAAATTTAAGGGGACGACAAATACATTTCAATGGCATATTATGACAGTGAAGCGTATCTGTCTCCTGAAGAATTATACGAATGTAGAATACAACATATTAGAACGTGGGTATCTGACATATTTGGAAATATTCTCAAAAGATTCCTATAAGCTCCATAAGAAACCTTCTAAAAACATTCCAAAAACGTATTCTTAAAATGTTCTTAGGATGCTTTTTAGGTTTTAAGATTTTAAGAATCTATAATTTCATGATTAATGCATTAAAAGGTTATCTATTGAACGTTTTAAAAGTCCCTAAGAATATTCTGAGCAATAAGGGAAGGTTCTAAGAATATTCCATTATTCAGGGTCATATATTCTTAGAAGATTCTTAAAATCAAATTTTGCTATCAGGGATGTGTCGTCATCAAGCTGTATATTAATAACAAATTATTTGTTTTTTTTATTTAAAAAAATCATTTTTTAGAAAGGCTTGACAAACATTTAGCTAATATTCAATTTAATTTTAAAGTAAAAGGAATAGTAAGTATAACTTTTTTCAATATCAATTTGTTACGTATTAGTTAGGATTATGTAATATATAAATAAGAAACTTAACCCAAATAAAATAAAACAAGACAGATTGTTTGAAATAAATTTATTCCAAATTTCGTTAACAAATTCCAAAAGAAAGTCTTACTTATTAAGGCATTGTATTAAAATGTTTAGGAAACAAAAGGATATAAATTATTTATAATAAAAAGTATTTTTTAACCTTATTATTATTTATATGGTTTACACAAAATTGTACGCTTTCACTACATTTTATTAAAAAATACCTTATTTTTGTTTTTTTCTTAAAATATTTGTTGTAGTTAAAAAAACAATGTTTCATCTAAAAACACCAAGGAAACAAACATTCAAGTACAAGGCAATTTTTTCTGCAAATTTATATAACAAACTAATTTTCTTTCAAGGATTATTTTGAAATAAACAATAAATATAAGGCGATTGTGTAATAATAATTTATTAGTTCTTTTATCTTAAAAGTGTTAACTTAACAATGGTTGTTACAGATAAAAATGACTACCTTTCTAAACTTCTTGAAGAAAAATACACCAGCATTTTTCGACCTGGATATGTGGAAATTGATGGTGTTACATTACCAAGAAGATATAAAGAATTAAAAAATGATATCGATGATTTCGATGTTTTTGAAGATGATATATGGATATGCAGTTTTCCAAAAACAGGTAAATGGAGGAAGGTATTAATATAGCATTAAATTTTATTTTTTTATTAGGTACCACTTGGACCCAGGAAATGATATGGATGATTGTTAACAATTTAGACTTTAAAGGGGGCGAGGAAAATTTAGGGCACAGATCACCATTCCTGGAGTAAGAATTTTTAATTTTCAACATTTCTTTTTTAAAAATGGTATTTTCAGGGTTACTTCTTTATTCGACTATAGAAAATTCATGGAAAATAATCCCGACTTTAAACCACCCCCATTCATAGAAGATTCTTTGGGGTACATCAAAACCAAAAAAGGAGCAATTTGCTTGAAAACCCATCTCCCATGGAACTTGCTACCCAAACAAATACAGAGTGGAGTTAAACAACCAAAAGTTATCCATATATAGTTTTTTTGGTGGAATCTTAGTAAATAACTTTTTATTTTAGATTATCTATGTGTCAAGAAACCCTAAGGACACCTGTATATCGTACTATCACCATTCAAAGCTAATTGAGGGTTACAATGGTAATTTTGACGAGTTCTGTGAACTGTTTTTGGGCGGAAAATGTAAGTTTTATGAATGAAGATTCTGACAATTCTTTTAATATTTTATTGACTATTTATTTATAGTATGTTTTGCTCCATATTGGGACCATGTTCTTCAATTCTGGAAAAAACGCGACGACCCAAACATCCTCTTTATCACATACGAAGACATGAAGAAAGATCTTCCAAGTGTCATCAAGACTGTCTCTGCTTTTCTGGAGAAAAATTTAACTGAAGAGCAAGTACATCTCCTAACAGCTCACCTTAGTTTTGAAAGCATGAAAAACAACAAAGCTGTGAACTACGAGATGATTCAAGAGTTAAATAAAAAGTACAATTTGACAAATGGTGAAGGGACTTTCATGAGGTCTGGGATAGTTGGTGATCATAAAGCACACATGTCTGAAAGTATGATAAAAAAGTTCGACTTGTGGACTAAGGAAAACACAAAAAATACACAACTAAATTATTAATTTTTTATTATCCTATATTGTACAATAAAATTACAAAATAAATATTATCTATGTAGTTTAAGTCGCTCGAACAATATGCTGTCTAATATTTTTAATTTTTTAAATTTATTTGGTACATATCGTTTGGGCAAATTTTATTTAATATATTTTTATGATTTTCAGTGTTTTTTATATATTTTATATCTATAATTCATTGTGGACGTATTCAGTTGTTACTTTGATTTCTTCTACGTGGAAGTCCTCACATTTTTCGGAGTAGTAATCCTAAAAAATATATTTTTTTAATTTATGGTACTGTACGAATAACTCCAGTAAAAGATATTTGTTATAATTATAACTAAGATATTTTGTTTAAAGTATCTTACAAAAGTAACTAGATAATAAGATCTAAGATACTTTTGAGTAACTAACTTAAGTATCTTTTTTTTCAAGATCCTTCCAGCTCTGGGCATAGATACCTACAGTTAAAGATACTTTATGTCCAATATAAAAAGTAACTAAGAAGAAGTACAGTTACAAGATACTTTAATAAGTATCTAAGATACTTTTGAGTATCTTTTTTTTTAAGATACTTCCAGCTCTGGCATAGATACCTGGATACTTTTTTGAAGTACAAAATCCTCTTACCTTGCATCTATTACTGCCGGTCACCACCTCATACAAACTCCAAAAAGGGGTATTCGATTCCCCACTCACAAACCAGCTGGCTACTAAACTGGAACCTTTGTAGAGCATTTTCTTCAGCTCAGGTAATGAAGCTTCGTTTGGGTTGTGTTCGTTAACCAGACAGAACACGTACTTATCACAGACGGGCGTTTTTTTCGAAAACCTGTAAGCCCTATTCACCCTTGCAATGGGTTCGATAATCTCCAGGTTTATGGTGTCAGCCACTGCATCGGAAACCTTTTTGTGATCTTTGATGAATCCTGGAGTTTGAGTTTGCTTGAATAAATCCTATAATAATAAAAACAAAATTGGTGGATGCGCATAATTTTCCAAGGTTTCGTAAGTATGTTGAATAAGTTAATTACGTAACAACGTTCGTTATCTAAAGCTTTGATAACGTATCTTCAAGTTGGTAGGTGGTGTGCTTAATTGGTTGTTTTTAAAAATACATTAGTCGTGCTCATTTAACATTAATTTGAAATTTCTTACCTGAACGTACACCACGACAGGTTTAACGTACTGTTTACTGCTAATTTTCACTCCAATGTATTTTTTCGCTATGTGATTGGCGATGTTGGAAATTGATTCCGTTGGCTTGTTTAAGTCTAGGTTTACACTTTTTGGAAAGCCGTTGCTATGTAGATAGGAGTTTACGAAAAAGGGACCTGCAGCAAGATATCTGAAAAGAACGTTTTTGGAATGTTAGTTATAGCTAGATTACAAGAACTCAAATTATTATTGTTGGCATTTTTAATTCATAAATAGTTTCGGTTTTTGATAGGCTGAATCGAATCCTATTCCACCAATTTTTTGAGAAGATCTAACCCTGATAGCACAGTTTTTTAAACCTTCCAGTGGGAATATTCTTAGGATCATGCTATATTTCTTCTAGTCATGTTCTAAGAATGTTTTTTAAACCTTCCAGTGAGAATATTCTTAGGATCATGCTATATTTCTTCTAAAGAACATTCTTAAAAGAAATATAGCATAATCCTAAGAATATTCTCAATGGCCTATAGGCAGGTTCTTAGAAGGTGCAAAGTTTAGTGGTAAAAATTAATCCACTCTAAACATATATGTTTAGAGTGTTGAGAAAGTAATTGCTATAGAAAGTTCATTTAGGAATATTCCTGGAACATTCTGTTAAGCATATTCAGTTCAGTTAGGTACCTATATAATAGTAAAATATACCATAATCTACGTATACTTTAAATACTATGTAAAAAACACAACCCAAAATATTTTTTATAGTTATTTGTCAAATTAAAACAATATTCGATAACAAAAATACTTTTACTATAGGTATCTAAATTATCCGGCTTTTACATAAAATCTTCTATTCAACTTAAATACAATGAAAAATGTTTTTTTTATGAAGAACTATTTGGTTTTTTCTTTTATGAAGAATTATTTTACAAGGAAATATTTTGTTTTTTTATACTTTATTTTTTGTTAAAAATAAATATTTATTAATTTGTATACCGATTTTTTATATCTGAATTAACATTTTTATGTATAATAATCCTAACTATCTTCAACTTCAATCTAATCTGACTTATCCCACAAAATTTTCCAACTTTACTTTTTATGAAATAATGTCATACAACTTATGGTTTAGAGGTCAAATTTTTTATTTAATAATTTTAAATAAATATATATTAATATGTCGCAAAATTTTTTAAGGGGACCACAAATACATTTCACTGTCATATTATGACAGTGAGGCGTATTTGTCGCCTCCTGAAGAATGTGGGTATCTGACATATTTGAAATATTCTCAAAAGCTTCCTAGAAGCTCCATAAGAAACCTTCTAAGAACATTCCAAAAACGTATTCTTAAAATGTTCTTAGAATGCTTTTTAGGAAGGTTTTAAGAAGCTTCTAAGAATCTAATTGCATCATTAAAAGGGTATCTATTGAATGTTTTAAAAGTCCCTAAGAACATTCTTAGCAATAAGGGAAGGTTCTAAGAATATCCCATTATTCCGGGTCATATCTTCTTAGAAGATTCTTAGAACAAATTTTGCTATCAGGGAATATGGAGCAATTTCCTTAATAGAATACTTACTGTCTAGAAAGCTGTGGATCAGCGGCCATCTTTAAAAGAGTCATGACCCTGTCGGTAGCCTGTTTGATCCAATGCCTTCTGAAGGAGTGATTCTCCATCATCTCTCCAAACTTGTTGTAGTCGAATCTTCCCGATTCATCGGTGAAGATTTTGAAGATTTTTTCCGCTCCAATGAAGCTTATGACGGTTTTCCCCATTTCCGAATGGATGAAGTGATCGAAGTAGATGTGGAGTTTCTCCAGGAACGGGGGGAGTAAGGAGGAGTGCCCCGAATGTCCTTGTTCGCGTCTTTGGGCGTCTGGTCCAGCAAATGCGTTGAATGTTTGTAGGAGGGTTGGAAGAATGTTCATTAAGCCTTAAAAAAATAATTGTTGGTGTTTTTATATATTTCAAGATTGAAAAATTACTTTCTGCAGGATTTCCGCCGCTTCCTCCTTGCCCCTCCATAAAACTAGCTGCCAGGGGCAACAGTTGCGAAAAATCAAACCCGTTGTCATTCCCATTACTTTTCTTTTTAATCTTCTGCGTGTTTCCTTCACTATTGGCAGCAGCGAACATGTTGATAGCGGCCCCCAAGAGCTCCGGATTTAATCCCCCTTGATTTCCGTCGCCACCAAGGCCGCCTATTATGCTTCCGATGTTCTCCATCATGTTATCACCACCTCCATCTTTGCCCAAATTTCCCAGAACGTTTCCAATTTGTTGTGCGCCACCATTTTCGAGGAAATTGCCAACCATGGAACCAATATTTTGCAGGTTTTGCTCTTTTAAGATTGCCGAGGCCGCTTCAGAGAAAGGATTCGCATCGTCCTCGATTTCGTTATTTAACGTATCCTGAAGTGATCCTTGTGTCAGGGATAGTATGACTAGAATTGCCAGTTTTGACCACATTTTGACTAAAAATAAATATTGGTACTTTTTATTATACAATTTCTATTGAACTAAACCAAAACTCTCCAAACAGTTTTAAATCTTATCTGATAAGATTATAATTATTTAATTTAATGTTTTAAACTAGGTTTACTTTTCAATAAAATTTCTTTTATTATCACAGTAAACCATTGTTATATAAATTGAATTTAAAATTTCATTTTATTTTATGCACCAAAACTTAAACAATAAAATTATATTTGCAATAGCGTGACTAATACAATAATTTAATTTAATTGACTACAGTAAGCTACATTTTTTTAATCTAACTCCGTACAGTAATAAAGCTAAAATTTTAGTTGAATCTAACCTAATTAGGTTGCAATTGCAATTTTTTAAGAATATTTATTTGCTTTATCAATTCTGGGCAATTAAAAAAATTGTTCAATATTATATAAAAACATATAAAACCAAATAAGTGAATTATGAATATTTTCTTATGTTAAACGACATTTTTTTCTTTAAAATTGTTTTTAGACTGCAAACAAATATTTAAATGATACACAAGTGAAAAAACAACTTGGAAATTAACGAACACCCTATTTAATATTATAGAATACAATTAGTTTTAAAATTAAAATTATTAGAATTAGATAAGAAGTTTTAAAATTGTTTGATATATTTTAATTGCCAACCTATTTTTTATACTTTAAGTATTTTTAATTTTTTTTGTAAGAAATGCGTCACCTAATGCTTATTTTTGATAATTTTTTACTTTATTATTCATACCTACACCCGAAACACCCTGTAGTATAAATTGAAAAATAAAATAATCCAACAAACCTTTAACACTTATATTTGTATTTATAACAATTGCACTAAAAATCAACTACTAAAATTGTCCAAAACATTTTGCACTAAGAAATTTTAATTACCCATTAAAATTTACCATGTGCATAAAACCCGGTTTCTACTAATAAGTAATAATTGGTGGAAATATATTAAGTTAATAATTGGAAAACCTATTTATTATTATAGAATACAATTAGTTTTAAAATTAAAATTATTAGAATTAGATAAGAAGTTTTAAAATTGTTTGATATATTTTAATTGCCAACCTATTTTTTATACTTTAAGTATTTTTAATTTTTTTTGTAAGAAATGCGTCACCTAATGCTTATTTTTGATAATTTTTTACTTTATTATTCATACCTACACCCGAAACAATATAGATAAAAAGGCCTATTACCCAGTGTCTGAAAATTTAAAATTCAAACTAGGAAATGTATAAATATTGATTTAACGTATTCTATATCAATTATTATTTATAATTAGTAAGTAGAGTAAGGATTTTAGGCACATACAAATTTAAAAAAAGGCTCCAAAAAAGCCAATATTTAAAAACGTGCATTAATAAAAGAAAAATTATATTTAAAAAAAATAAAAGTATTAAAAAGGCATTATGTTTTCTATTTTAGGCAAGTATTTAATAATATTATTAATAATAAAGGTATTTATTGCCAGTAAAAAAGGCAAAAATGATGTACTAAAAATGTCCAAAACACATTTTGCACTAAGAAGTTTTAATTGCCTATTAAAATTACGATGTGCATAAAACCCGGTCTCTACTAATAAGTAATAATTGGTGGAAATATATTAAGTTATTAATTGGAAAACCTATTTATTAAAAAAGTAACGGTTGTTACATTTATATTTGTACAAATAATTAAAAAAATAAACATTTCGAAAAATAAATCCAGTCTTAATGTTAAATTTACATAATGTCACAACTAAAGTTTTATTTGTTAGTTTTGTTTTTATTTTCAAGCATTAAAAAATCACATTTTTTACAAAAAAATATTTTCTTAACCGATTTAATCAAAAATTTAATACCCACAATTTGCTTCAGTACTATTAAAACACCCTGTAGTATAAATTGAAAATAAAATAATCCAACAAACCTTTAACACTTTTATTTGTATTTATAACAATTGCACCAAAAATCAACTACTAAAATTGCCCAAAACACATTTTGCACTAAGAAATTTTAATTGCCTATTAAAATTTACGATGTGCATAAAACTCGGTCTCTACTAATAAGTAATAATTGGTGGTAATATATTAAGTTAATAATTGGAAAACCTATTTATTAAAAAAGTAACGGTTGTTACATTTATATTTGTACAAATAATTAAAAAAATAAACATTTCGCAAAATACATTCAGTCTTAATGTTAAATCTACATAATGTCTACTAAAGTTTTATTTGTTAGTTTAGTTTAGTTCAAGTATTAAAAAATCACATTTTTTACAAAAAACCGATTTAATAAAAAATTACATTTGCTACAGCACTATTAAAACACCCTGTAGTATAAATTAAAATATAAAAATAATCCAACAAACCTTATTTGTATTTATTACAATTGCACTAAAAATCACAACCCTAAAATCTCAAGTTCTTCGACCACTTCACATGTCCCGCATAAGAAGAACGTTTTGGAATGGTACGAGTACCGGTTCTAAAGAGTTAATGACGCAATAGCAGGTACTCAGCGTATAACGGTACCACACAACGGTGTCTAGCGAGGAACCAGTCACCTGACTTGGATACTGTGCAGTGGCTAAAACTTGACACCAAAATGATAACACACAGAATTATATTGAGTAGGTTTGTTACCTCGAGTATTTACCTCGACTCTTGCAATGTTTATAATTTTCTTTGCACAGGTAATTGTATTAATGCATTGAAGGTTACCTGCATATTTTCTTACATTCTATAATACTACCAGGAAATAAAAAATTACAAATTAATAATATTTATTTATTCGATAAATTCTAAAATTGACTATACATTTCAACAACCAAAAAATCACTGCTTATTTTTGCTGGCACTCTCCCCAGTATCACACGGTATACTAGGAATCTGCCAGCCCTGCGTAGAAAACCCCGTATACTGCGACGTTGTCGGTTTTAGAGGACTCGGCAACGCAGCGGCTGAGGTAGACTCCTCCTTATCCAAAAGCGTTTCTTCGTTTTGCTTGGTACCCTCTTGTTTGAAGGGTAGAACGAAATCGTCCTTCTTGGGGATTTGGTGAGCGGTGGTTGGTACCAGTGGAGACTGGGTTATGTGGCAGGACGACCCTTCCAGAGGGCTAAAAGGATCGGGGGTAAAGTTGGAGCGTTTTTCCGGGGTCAGTTCTTCTGCAACGCTGTTATCAGCGCTTATATCCGAAAAATCGATGTCGTAGTTAATTTTAGATAAGCCCAGGTAACTGTTTTCTTCTGGGGTGGCTGCCAAGCTAAGGTTGTCCTTTGAAGGCGATAGAAAGTCCTTTGAAATTTTTAAATTATCTGATTGTACATCCTGTGTACAGGGTGTTATATCCAACTGCAACTTTGATTTTTGTGTGTGGGAGACATCGAATTGCAAATTTTTCAGGTAAAAGTTTTTAGGTTGGGACTCGTTGGGGTCTATTTTAGGTTTAGGTTGGGGTCTTAAGAGGAAAACCGGCATTGTTCGCTGCTTTATTACTAGCGGGGTTCTATCTAGTATTTCGTTTACTTGGCTGTTTATGTCTTCCTAAAAATATACAAGTGTTATTTTTCATTTGTATGGTAAATAGTTTAAGCTGTTTTAATTCTTATTTATTAACAACACGTGTACAGTTAACACATTGATTAACCATTTTTTAATTACGAAATTTAATATTAGAATTTATTAAATTATTTTTTAATTCAAAATTTTATTGGTTTAAAATTTTCCTAACATTTATAAATTTAAAATATTTTTATTATGTATTTATTGAATTTACTATCATTTTTTTTAATAAAAATAATTTCTTAAGTAGGTATATTTTATTTGGCAGAAATTTTTTTATGTAATTAATTAGATTATATTGGTAAAGTTAAATTTTTTAATATTTAAAAATAGTGTCGACACATTTAAAATAAAAACACATATAAAACATTTTTTACCAAAATAGTTTAAAAAGTTAAATTTTCTTAATATCAAAACAATTAATAATCTAAAAAATATTTTAAATATACACTGCACGTCAAAATTAACGCATAATAATTTAAAAAATTCTCTCTAAAACGCCTTTACCAATCTTTATGAAATTTTATATAAGAATACTTCAACTTATATCTCAGTTTACGTGTTTGAAGGTTTTTCGAGAAAATATTTTTAAAGCCCTTTTATTTAATAATAATAAAAAAACGTTCGAAAAATAACTTTTGGGGAAATTTTTTTAGTAAATAAAAAATATGCTGTTAAAGACCGTATCTTTGTTAGTATACCCTGAAAATTTTGTACAAATCAAACGAACAGTAACGAAGATACAGCGCTTGTGTTTTTTTGTACATTTTCAGGGTATACTTACAAAAATACGGTTTTTTTTCGAGCGTTTTTTATTATTAAATAAAAGGGCTTTAAGGATATTTTTGGAAAAACCCTTGAACACGTAAACTGAGATATAAGTTAAAGTATTTTTATCCAAAATTTTATAAAGATTGATAAAGGCGTTTTAGAGATAGATTTTTTTTACTTATTATGAGTTAATTTTGACGGGCAGTGTAGAATGCAAGTTTAAAATATTGGTTTTTAAAAATAAAATATTTTATTCTACAAAATTATTGGTTTAAAATTGTTAAAAGTCAGTTAAATTTAAATGATATTCGATAAATTTTTAATCCAAAAATTATCACTTTAAAATTTAAAACTTACATTCAAATGTAATGTGAGAATTTTGGTTTTCAAAAATTTTTCGACAATCATTTAAATGACTACAAATTTACCGAAAATTTTGTTGAATAAAATATTCGAACTAAAATTTCTAAAAATCAATATTTTTAAGCTTTACATTGTATTTTATATTTAAAATATTTTTTGAGTTGTTAACTTCAAAGGACTTTTTATTTTAAATCATTACCATTACCATTCCGCTGATAATAAGAATTCCAATAACAATTTTATAATTTTTTATTTAAAAACAAAATAAGGAATAAAAAATATTTACATTTTTTTAGTAAACACTATTAAAACAATTTCTCAATTTTCTGCCTGTTATTCTTTAAAAAACTATCTGGTTGATAAAATTTAAAAGTAAATATTGTCACAATAAGCATAATAATTTTATTATTATTTATTAACACGTGTATAATAAACAAGTAAATAAAACAATTTCATTTTATTTAAGTAATATAAAAGAATGCATTAAACATATTTATTTAAAATGTAGATTAAAGTCATGAACAAAGAACAATATTGTCACTAAAATAAACAACAATTATTTCCAAACCAAACATTAAAACTACAACAAAAAGCGTACACTTTATTGGTCAGACAGCTCTAAAACTATACCTTAAGTTTTTTCATGTTTTCCCTCAGCGCGTTAGACTCTTCCTGCACCAAGGCAGTTCTCTCCGAAAGACCTTTTAGCAGCGCCAAATGCTCGCACAGTTGGTGCATACCCTCGCAAGCCACAAGGGCAGATTCCCAGGCGCTAACAGACGTCATTTCACCCGACATGTAGGCCTGGAATTCTTGCTCCGGCATGCTAAGCGACTCTGCTGTCAAATTTTCGATGAAGGAGACAGCGCAGCACTGAAATAACTCGTTAAGTATTGTGTTCCGCAAGGTTCCCACTTGGGACCGCCTACATTCGTCGAGTTTGTAGGAGACTTCACTTACCAGGTTGGTGAAGTAGTAGCCAGCCTCACCCTGCATTAATCTAGTATCGTTGCAGAATCTTGTGACGTAGAGGATGTTGCTTTTGAGCCTCGCAGGGTTTGCTTTTAGGACGACGAAAATTAGAGCGGGGAGAAATTCATCCGCGCTCACTGGACCGCCTTGGCAATGTTGCAGTACTTCTACAACCGACCTAAGAAGAGAAAATTATAACAAAATAACAACAATGACATTTTTTTATTAACCTGCAGCATTTCACAACGCATGCCAGCTTCTCTTGCGGAGCTTTCATGGAATCCATCCCCAAGAGGTCGTTTATGGCGGTGTACACCAAATCGCGAACCTCGAGGCTGGTTTCGCTTATACAACAGTCCAAATGGTGGGCGTTGACCCACGATAACTTCCTGATTCTGTCCTGTATGGTTAAATCCTTCTCCTCATCGTTGGTTGTATTCGGGCAAAACAAAAACCTACAACCATCCTTTATAAACCCTCCTTAAACACTCATCGCATCCACGTACGTATACAAACTTATCATGCAGTATTTCTCGAAGAAATCCAGCAAGTCCTCCCTAACACCCTCAGGAACCTGCTGGTAATGCGGATTACCGTTAATTCTGGTCATGTAACTGACGTAACATTTCTGCGCCATTTCAGCCAGCTCGTCGATTAGTTTCAAATTCATTTCGTGCACGATTTTGGTGGTGAAGTATTGGGCGCACTTGAAAAAATCGTGTCGAACCGCCTCGCCATATTTGCCGAATTGAGCGATGAACTCCACGTTTAGCTTGTCGGTGTCTGGATTGGCGTGTCTCACATCGAATTGACGCTCCGACCTTTCAGAGTCTAAAAGAATGACATTTAGATGATTTATGTAGTCCTCTTTGGGACATTCACCTTTAGCGCTTGAGGTCTTCCTGAAAACTGGCAAATACTTGTTCTTCTTGTCGGTTTGCTGACGCTTTTTTTCCTCGAACTTGCCAAAACTCGTGACCTGCGATTTTGAAGAATGATGATGATGATGGTGTGCGGAAGAAGAGGAGGTCGAACGAGTTCGTTTTTGGCGTTCTTGTTCCATATGATTTCGATAACATTTCGAACAATAACCTTTAGGAGAAATTAGCAATATTTCAACACATGTAATTTGATTGAATCAAAGTTCAAAAAGCTAAGTAAATATTTTCGGAAGACACAATAGAAAACAAATATTTGACACCAAAACTTTTCGCCATTATTGTTTGATACAAAATTAGTCATTCCCTTCGTAAAAACGCTTATAGAAATGATAGACGTGTTTACTTGAATTAAAATATCTTTACCGAAAATGTTTGCTCCTAGATCATCAAAAACGTGCAGTAAAATGTACATATTTACACAAATGTTAGGTCTAAGTAAATTGATAAAAAATATCTAGTTTAAGCTCAATGAAATGCAAGTGCTGTCAGCTGATAGTACAAAGTTTACGATAAGGAGATCTGTTTTAAGGTCAAATACAGTCATAAGTACTCGGTGTCTAGAACCTCTCCCGCCAAAACATCTTAAAATCCAGAAATTATTGGTTCAAGATGGAATTTAAGATGTTTTAGTTGAAGGCGGACTTTTGGGCATTTACCTCCCCAATCGGCATTCCCGAAATAGCCGCAGCCATTGGTGCACTTCAAATCATCCTGGTTGATCCTTAAGGAGGGCTGTTTTGTGGCGTACATGATGTACTTGTAAGACCTCTGTAAAGTCAACACGGGCATCTTTACTGAACTTAAAATTACTTAATAAAACACTTATGTATAAGTCTATGAAATAGTCTTTCAACAAGGATTGAGATCCTTGCCTGGCGTGTCCTTTTAGATTGTTTTATCCCATTATTTATCGAAGCCAAAAAATCGCCTCGAAAGGTTGCTACCACGGCGGTACAAAGCTGTGGTCGTGCGCACAGAGGTTCAGCTCTTTCATCAACACTTGCAGAACGGGGTTCTGTGGGTACTTCAGGGTTATGTTTTGGGACTCCTTGCTGCCGATTGTCGTTTGCACAGCGGTGAAAATCTGACACAAAAACCGTAAGGACTCTCCAGGATCAGCCATTTGTCACAAGTTTGCAAGTTGGATCTCGTAGGGCAACAGTTTGCCTGAATTAAACCGAACTAAAGACTGAATACTGAAACCTTCACAATATCGGCGAGATTTAAGTTTTTGTGTTTTTTTTTCACTTCGTTGAAAAAACTCGCTTACAATTTAATCAAATTTGTTCTACTGTACAGAGTTTAGAACTGACTTCGGAACGAGACGACTTGAGAATTTATCACAACGGCTAGCGATAAGGATAATATAATAATTAAGGGGGGGCTATATAAACAAATATACTTGCGGTCCATTTTTTCGAATTCTTATCTTTTTGCTTAGTTTATTCCATAGTAACAGCTTCCTTTCTTCAAGGTACCTATACTAATAAAAATAAGTGTCTTTCGTATACTTTTATTTCAAAATGATTCTATTGTTTCACTAGTGGAGTAATGGAATGAAAATCGCCTAGTATATATCCCCAAAATAGTTTCAATTCGTTTTTTAAATCGGATATAAAAATATACTTTGGTATTTTCAATATTTAAAATTGGTAATCCTGTTCAATTCTTTAATTTTACTTTGACATTTTCATTAATAACAATGCCAAAGATAACAGAAAATTCTAAACGAAAAGAAACTTAAAAAAACTGTATTTTGATGAATTATTAATTTTTGGTGCATAAATTAACTAAATAATTTTATTTTGACCAGTGTAGCCAATTGTAAATTTAGGGTCCCTAGAATTTGCAAATTTTCGAAATTGTGAAATTCCGAATAAAAAACAAACTATATTAAATAGACTTTGGGCCTTGAATTATTATTATTATAAAAATCCTATTAAAACCTTCCTAATTTTGAAAAGCATGTTTTTGGTGAAATTACACTCACAGGCAAAATAATCGATCCACACAAATTTTCGATGAATTTCAATCGCAAATAACTTTTTTATTTGATTTCGGATTTAAACAAATACTAAACAATATTGTAGATAAATTGGACGCCTTTCTGCAGAAAGGAACCAACCCACAAAACCAAAAAAATCGAGATATTTAGCCTATGAACTAATTAAGTATGTATGTGGTGGTTTGGTTTGGTTTGGTTTGGTTTGGTGGTTTTTTTATCTGCAAAATAGGTCATAGCCAAAATGCAAGTGTAGTGAAATCTATTAATCATTGAACCAACCAACATTCAATAATAGTGTGGATTACTAATCCAGAATTAGAATCTGTAGAATATCTGCAAGTGGGTTGGATCTTTTTTGTAAAAAAGCAGGCTGGTAGACCCACTACCAAAGTCTTTAAAGATTTCCTACTTCTGCAAAATATAAAGTCTTGATGCATTTTTTTGGTAGCTTACAAGATGAGGTGGGGTTGGAAGATGATGTGGACGAATTTCGAATAGAATCAAAATTAATTCATATTACCATTATAATAGTAATATCAGTTGTATTTTGTTTGGAAATAAATAATTGTCGCTTTTCTTTAAATACATACATACATCAGATAGTAGTTTTCATAAATTGCAGAAAGGAACCAACCAACAAAAGCCCATTTTTTTCGTCACCCTTACACATAACATCACAAAATCCACCTGATGAAATTATTAAATTATATCCCTTAAACCTCCGTAAGTCCAAAATCGGCATAAAATTAACAGGTAATTTTAAAATTATTAAAATCTTTGATAGCTTTTTTCTCAGTTTCATCATGGTGTGGGTTGGTCCCATTCTGCAGAAAGCCGTCCAATTAATGGACAATCGCTTACATTTTTAAAATTACTAAATAATAGATGTACGTTTATAGTATACAGGTTTAAACAAAAATATGTTTTTTACCATAAGTTCAAGACACTCTGTAGAGTGGCAAAACCGTATATTGTTCTAAATTAAGTTTTAATTATCAAGTCACATCACATCAGTTTGGTGTTTGGTTCGCCTTTGGGGAAAATATGGATTTTTTTTAAAAAACATTGCAATTTCCTCAAAATTTAAACATTAATTTGCAAAAAACAATTTGATAGCTTTTGACAGCCGTGTATGACATGTCCAAGTATGGGATGATTAAACAAAACTGTCACTGTCATTCTCCATAGCCTATGGATGGAACATATCAACCTTAGTTCTTCATACAGAAAAATATTGGAAATTGCAATGTTTTTTTTTAAATCCATATTTTCCACAAAAATAAATATATCGCGGTGAACCAAAAACAAAACTGTTAAGAATAGATGTGACTTGATAAATAAAACTTAATTTAGAACAATATACACAGAGTGTCTTAAACTTATGGTAAAAAACATATTTTTGTTTAAACCTGTATATTATAAACGTACTTCTATTTATAGTAATTTTTTAAAATGTAAGCGATTGTCCATTAATTTATCTACAATATTCTTTAATATTCGTTTAAATCCGACATCAAATAAACAAGTTATTTGCGATTGAAATTCATCGAAAATTTGTGTGGATCGATTATTTTGCCTGTGAGAGTAGTTTAAAAAATATATAAAAATTAATGAAAAAAAGTAATTATACTTATTATTATATTACGTGGCACAAATCCTTGAGTTTTAAACTTATTTAATCTTAATAAATAAAAAGATTTTAAAACTAGATAAAATTACATAACTAAAAAATGTATATAATATATTAATAATATACCATGAATACAAAATATAATGATTATTTAGATTAATTATATTAAATTTTGAAAACAACAACATAAATATAAAAAATACATATATACCAATTGACGTAGTAGGGTTAAAAGACCACAAAAGCACCAGTCTTTCATCTTGAACAAAAGGTTTAAAATTAAACATTAAACAAATAAACCGTTTACAATTTAATGTACAAATTATAATTTCATGTAGATATTTTTGTACGAATATTATTATAATTTCCTTTATAGATTACTGCTAAACTGAATAATACATTTAATCGATTATTAATATTTTTGGCGATAATACATATGTATATTTATAATAAATAAATAATTGTTTTTAATGCTGTTTGCAATTTAAAAAATAGGGTCCCCACTAGTGGCTCACCAGTTAAAAAATAAGAATATTTTTTATTTTATTATTAAATTAATTAATCTTTAATATGATTTAAAAAAAAATAATTTCAAGGAATTTTGTGATAATTTATTAAAAATATATTTGGCCATGTTGTTTCTATATCATGTTTTTAATACCTTTATTTTCGTTTTTGCATCATATTTATTATTTTTTCTAAAAAAAACTTTAAATTACAAAGTAAGTAGGTATCAGTTAAATTCCTCTAATCTAAAAAAATACCCTGTATTATTTATTAAATTATGTACACAATAAAACATGTGTTTGAACTTTATCAGCTACTGTTAAAGTTTGGACTCCATATTATAAGAAATTAGGAAGAAAATTATTTTAAGAAATTTATCTCCTTATAATTGCAATTTTCATGCACAAAGGTCTTAAATTATTTACCAAAGTTCAAAGGCTGCATCAGAGTGATAAGGCGGTATTTTAAGTTTAGCAAAAGAGTGTTATTTTAATTTAATTTAACAAAATTCCTCTACATTTTAGAACAATATTTTTTATTAATATTTATTATTATTACATGCATTAATATATTACTTGACATACTAAGGCAAAACCAATTTAAAGATTAATTGATATTATGTTAGTAAATATTGTTGAGAAATATAAAACAGATACAATAAATAAAATGGTATTAGTAGATAATTCTTCAAAATATTTTTTTGACTTTATGGGTCATGTCTAATGATATCACTATTTTTGATTATTAAATTAATTTGGAAAATACAGTTTTTCCTTAAGAAGAAATTGATAACATTGTTCGATCACAATAATTCATATTTTATAAACAGTGTATTTGATAGGTCCTTTGATGAGTAGATTTTTAACATGTATATATTTTTAACACCCTGTGTGGTAACATTACAATCACAACTACTTACAATATAATACAACAATTATATAAGGATAAAACATATTTGGGCGTTTTATTTAATTAGGTTAGCCAAAAATTTAACAATATATATAGTTATATGTCTTTAAATCAACAAATACTAAATTTTAACAGCTATTTATCCAAGTTATCATAAAACTTACCCAAAATCACCTAAAATTCTCTAAAAAACACTTAAAACAAGTCACTTGTTTGTTTTGACATTTTACACATTTTGGAGGTTAGGAAACCTGTTGACCTATAACTGTAGACAGTGTACTTTATGTACAAAAATCCATGCATTTTGGTTCTATCCTCATAAAATTAATGCAATATCATAAAATGATGTTTAAATTTAATTTTTAAGTTTAGATTTTAGTGTTACACGCAATATTTTAATATTTTAAATATTAATTATATCTATGTTTGTTATGTCAAAGGTTTATAAAATGCCACTCCAATTAAAGCGGCAAATTCAAATAAAAACCTCAAATAATTCATAAAAACTTTATTATAAAACATTATAATAATAAATAAACTTAGAGCCACTAAGAAGTCGTGAAATAAAAGCGGAATGTAACAATACAACCCAAAAATAAAAAGAAATAACTTATTTTGCAGCGATTTGCTGAGGTTCAAGGGAAATATAATGAAAGTCGGAATTTTCCACCGAAACAACGGCTTCGTTTTGATGCAATTTCGGACACGTCATCACTTCCGTTGTCATGGTTTCCGACCATTTGTATGGACGCTGTTTAACCTGAAATGAGAAAATTGTTAGTGTACATGGTTGCCTATTTGATGTAATCTGGGTTGCCTATGTGTAGGCGTTGATTTTTACTTACTTTAAAATAAACTTGTTCCCTGTAGGTCCTTTTAGTTGAATTTATTTTAAGTGTTAATGATTCTGTATACCATATTGGTACAGGGGTTGGTTTAATATAGCAACTCGTTGTGTATCTGTAAAAATAAATAAGTATCGACTAAATTGTAATGTACAATGTGTTTTTACCTTTTTGGGGCTGATCCACTGTAATCAAATCTTGATTTCGTCAAAATACTGGTTTCTGATTTATTATCGTTAGTAGTTGTTTTCTCTTTGGACAAATCTTGCAACACACGACTAAAAAATACAAAAAACAAATAAATTTGTATAAAATAAACTAATTTTTAATATCAAACGCACACTTTAACATTTTTTAACAAAGCGTCCACAAAAATTTCAGTATTTGTTTGGTTTAACTTTATTTTTGCCGGTACAAACTTAGTTCGTTTTTCCAAGCGTGGAGCCATTTTATTTTCGATATACATATTTAACAACTGATTTTAATACGACCTAACACAAGAAGTTAGCGTTTTTCTGCGGTTTTTTTGCGTTTACCAATAAAATATCACACATTGTGTTTTTGTTGCTATGTTGGCAACAAAGAGTTTACTTGGGGTGGCTGCATTGTTTTTTAAAAACAAATGAACGAAATGTCTAATTGCAAGCTTAAATTCTGTTTTCATTAATTTAATCGTTATAAATGCTGTGAGAATGTCCTTAAAAGTATTGAAGAACATGTTTAAAAAGGTATGTATAATTTTACATTAAAACGGCATTCGCATAGAAACTTCAATACTGTATTAATACAGTTAACAATTTAATCCGTTTATTCGGTATTATTGTAATACCTACCTGCTGTTATACTGGGTGTATTAATAATATTACCTGTTTTCTATCTGGTCTATTATGGAATGTTCACTTTGGCTTATACTTTCTAAATGACCGTTACTTTTTGACATGGAACATTCTTGAGTGTTTGGACCTTAAAAACAATAAATTGATTTATTAAAACGCATTAAAAAGATGTTTTATTATTAAAAGCCATAATATACAGGGTGTCCCGTGAATGGCGAACTGGCAACCGACGTGGGCGTGACTATCTCTCGACAGACCAATTTATAGCGAACAAAACTTATAAGGGTGTTATTACGGTTTTATAAGTATCTCAGGCGGCTTGAGCGTAAGGTACGAAATATTACACATCTAAAAACGGTTGTCATGGAAACAAAGTAAAGAAGGGGGCTGCAGCAAGCTTAAAAAATTTTGTTTTTTAACGAAAACTGTTTTTTATCGTTTTATTAAATATTAAAAATAATAAGAAAATTTTATTACATAGCACAGTATAAATATAGCCATTGCATAATTTGTTTATAATTTAGCTTGTAAGCAGAATTTACACTAAACATTCATGATGAATAATTGCTTTAACATTGACATCATTTACAATATTAAACAATGAAATAAATGTTAAGGAAATAATGTTAAAACCAAAACCATTATATTATACAGTGATGGACAAATGTGTAGGGAATTTTTTTAGTTTTTTGTTATTTATTTACATTTTTCAGTTAGTTTTGTTATTATATCTACTTACTACTTTCGTCATCTAAAAGTATATTTAGTTTGTATTTAATTTTTCCTACATTATTTTCATGCGTTATTTCCGAAAATATTTTTTCGTTTTCTATAAAACTATTAAGAGTTTTTTTGAAATATTCAATTGTTTTAACAATTTCCTTTCCTTTATGAATACCTTTAATAAAAAATAAACAATCGTGTTAGTTATATATACATGTATACTAGCAATTTCTTATCAGTATGTCTCATGTCTAAATATACATAGTGATAAGTAAATAAATAAATAAAAAACTTACTTTCGTATAATGTACTTTTATCCATGTTAATATTTTTTTCGTGTAAAATTGCACAGTTTATTCGCTCGTTATCCAAAAAGTCTGCGGTATTTTTCACCATGATTTCACTATTTTTCGGCTTCATTTTCTCGAAAATAATCTTTGCCGCACCTCTGTAGGAATTCAATTTTTTCCTTCTTAAAATCGACTCTAGCCGTACGGAATTCTACATAGAATAGGAGGCGATGTTGATTAAAAACAGTCGACTATCACCTTAAGATTGTGTCGGGCGACAGAGGCGCGCGTCTAGACGGAAAATAATAATTTTATGACGGTAATTTTGTTGTATTAATGACATTTCAAAATACAACAATAAGAGACCTTTGGTCTATACATTCAAATTGCCCAAGTAAAAAAAATCATTTGGTAAAATTTCTTAGCCCAAAATAGATAAATCATACAAATTTGTTTTTTTTATAATTGTACTAGAATTTACACAATTTTAAATATTTATTTATATTTTTAATATTATTTTTTTAATATACATACATAAATATATTGAGATGTGAAAATGATTATTTTTTATTTTTGGTTGTTTCACTGTTAGTCTAGAATGGGGTTTTTGTGAAGCCACCAGGTCTAGTAATAACATAACATAAGTGGTTTTGCACCAATGCAAGAATTTTAAGAAATCATACAATTTGAATATTAGAGCTTCACGGAAGATAGCTTCACGGAGGTTAGGATTTCGTATGTTTTTTTTAAACATCCCTTTGTATATTTGAAATAAGTTATTGTAATATTTTTTAAAAATACAATTGTACATGCTTACATACATGTAGTATGTATATTTTTTTTTTGTTAATTTTTTAAACCTATTGTCTAAAAGTATATGATTTTTTGACACTTTTGTTAGAACTACTTAAAATAAAATAGGACGCCACTGTCAAAATAAAATATTGATTTGTAGATAATTTAAAATATTTTTAAATTTTCTAAACAATTTTTTTTTGCTACGGCTATGGCGGTGACGTCACGATTTTGTTATGTTTGTTGCGTTGAGGAATCAACTGGTTATCGGTCCCATTCCAAATAAAAAAAAAACTTCTAACTGATTCATTTAATTTATACAATTCCGTTTATTTACTTTTTTTGCCGCTTGACCGTATAAGATCATTTCTATATTTAGATGGTTATTTGATGGTTTTGTTGTGGTTTTAATAATTAATTATTTATTTAAAATTTAAATTAAATGCATTTATTTTATTTATTGGTTTATAATATTACTTTTTTTATTATTAAAATGTAAAAGGGATAGTTTTATTATTAATATTTTTAAATACATTTTTCATAAAAATGAAAAAAAATACAATACAAATTTTGCTCCAAGAAACAAAAAATAATTTGTTATTAATTCTGATATACGATCAATTAAAATTGTGATAAAAAATATGAATCTGAAAGAAAGTATTTTTCTTTATCTTTGGTTGGTGTAATCTTGGTTGCATACGCAATTTATCTTATTAATTTTAAAACTTATTGTTCTTTATCTTAGGTTGATGTAATCTGGGTTGCATACGTCACCAGCCTACAATTTATTTTATTAATTTTCCGTTGAGAATAATTAATAAGGGATTGAATAAATTTCGGAAAGGAAATTAGAATTATTAATCCTAACCCCTTATCTTTGAAACGTCGATGGATTACCGGAGTTGAAGGAAAACAAAGAAAGATTTCGAAATTTTCCGACATAAATTTTCCGTTGAGACGTCGCGGGAAAGCGCACAGCTGCACCGGGAAAACGTTAAATTCCCGATTAGATCGTATTTCAAAAACTATCTCCGAGTTAAATTTCCTGATACGACCGATATAAACTTGTTTGAGAAACCTTGTTTCGATAACGTATTAAAATTAATTTTTAAGATTTTCGTTTCATAACATTTTTTCAAAGTAATAAGACATTGTAAACAAGACCCACTGCTTTTAAGTGTTTTGTGTTCATTTAAAATTGTTTTTGGGTATTATTTAGATTTATAGTTGTTAATAAAACGCCTTAACCCATAATTCAGTTCGAGCTACTAACATTCTTGCGTTTATGGGTATTAAATTCGAGACTGTGTGTTAAATTAAAGCTTGCGGTACATTTCAATAAAACAGTTTCTGTCGTACATTCCATAAATAAATAAAAATTAAAGTTTAAATAAAAAAGTAATGATTAGCAAAAATGTAGCTGTAATTTATTTGGGTACAGGGTGTTTTTAAAGACGAAAACAATAAAAATATTACCTGACTTTTCTCTTTCGATAAAAGTAGACCAATAATTTACATTACTTTGATATCGGTATTCACATCCACAGTCCCTTTTTTTCTTCTTCACTATTTCCGAAATTTTTATTTCTTTATTCCTCTTGAAAAATAAATTGCTTAAACTTTTACTTTTTTTCTGCATATTTAAAATTTTAAAACCAAACACTATAAAATTTAAAACGTACTAAACAATTTTACCAACCACATACATAGGTAAATTATGTTGCAATGACACAAACAACCGGAAGTTCTCTATGGTACGCTGCAATATTTTGCTTTAATTATTATTATAATTAGAATAATGCCAAAACAACTTTTTATTGGACAACAAATTTGTTAAATATTTTTTTAAATTTAATAAAATATGATAAAAAATAAAACCAGTTGCAATATTCATACATATAATACATAAAATAAAATACCTACGTATAGTAAAGGTATTTTTGTTATCGAATATTGTTTTAATTTGACATATAACTATAAAAAATATTTTGGATTGTGTTTTTTACTTAGTATTTAATACTAATTACTAGCATGATCCTAAGGATATTCTCACTGGAAGGTTTAAAAAACATTCTTAGAATAAACTGTGCTGTCAGGGATTACAAATATGAAAAAATGTTTTAGACAAATAAGTTTAGCATTACATATAAAAGAACTCTGTAACCCATGTAGTTTAAAACTGTGTCACGAGATGGCGTCACTGCGGGCAATGGTATCGCTATTGTTATTTTGCGCGTTACAAACAAGCTGCGTGTGTTTTTTAAGGTTATCTTTCGTCACGGTAAGTTTTTGCATTATTTAATTTTCTTTTTAATGTGTCTTACTTTTGATACCGAACAGAAACAGTTTTGTTTGTTATTGAAGGATTACTAAGCATCGATTAGCATTTATTAGAGTTAAGTTTGTAATTTTGGACGCCTGCAAATTAAGGATTAAACGATTTGTCAGGCCCAACTCGCTACCGGCTGATAAAAAGGTTCCATTAATTTTGTCCCACAGCAAACTCCAAACAACTAAACAAAAATTCCGACAGTGCATTTTTTACTTTATACAAGTTGGGAACAATAAATAATTGACGGATTTCGTATTAAAGTTGGCCGTAATTTTCGTTAAAATGAGAAATACAAGATTTCAATTTTCTTAACAATTCGCCAATAAAAATTAATGCTAATCAATCTTAAAGGGAGACTAATTTACATTTTTGTGAAGCAAGATCACGTACTCCTTTTCCATGGCAATCCCAGGATTATCAAGACATTATGCTCGTCAACGCCTACTTTGTGCCAACAAACTGCTTCCTGCACTAAAATATACATATATGCATTGGCGGCTCGGGCGTGTATAGGGAGGTTAATGTTCTCTAAATACGAATGAATTTCCAAATTAAAATCTCCACCATGCACAGAAAGAAAAACTGTACGTAAAATTAATAAACTGCTTTCGTCAAATTTTTGTATTGGTGATTATAACAATGCTTTTTGATCATAGATTAAAAACTAAGTACATTGAAACAATAAACTAGACAACATTAAAAACGCTCAATGCAAAACATAAAAATTAATTATTTCCTTCATTAATATAATGTAAAAATTTATTGAATCAACTATTGACGATTATTAAACGAGGTTCTTTATCTTTAAAACAATAAATTTTTCGTGATTAATCCATGAACAGCAAACATAAATAATAATAAACCGTCTTCATTGTCCCAACGGTCACTAAACATTGATTTTACAAACTTAACCATTCAATTCTAAAAACGCGCCAAAATTAATGCTGCAGTACGATGAATCAATCAACATAAATATTATTATTACGAATCGTTGTCATAGTCTTCTGGTCATCGCACCACTTTTGGGTGGCGAATTTTTACAGGCAATTTTTATCTTTAGTCAGTCTTGTAGCGTTAAAAGGTTAGTTCCGCGTTTAACCCTAAAGCTTTATTAGTGAAATTGTGATTAATATAAGGAGTAAACATTCCAGTGGCCAAGGTGTGTAAGCTTGTGAAGTTATTTTAAACATTTTTGACCTTTTTGGATTAATTTTTGTGCCTAATATACGGAATGGACATTGAAGAAACCGAGGTGTGTGAGCTTATTTTAAACAGTTTGGACTTTTTTGGATATATTTTTTTTATTTTTAAGTTTTTAGTTTTTAAAATATACACTTTAAGTAATATATTAAATATAATTATGTAGGATTTCATGTTGATATAAGTTTTAAAATTATTTATATATTTAATCTTGACTTTTTACAGGAAAGCATAATGTTTTGAAACTTTTTAGAAAGAGCATTTTGTAAACCTCTGAAGATACCAAAGGTTCATATTTTTTGTAAATTTCTCTTGCAATAAAAAAATGTATTCACCAAAAACGTCTTTATTTTAGAGAAACCTATTTTGTGATTGATTGCTTGGTAATTTGTATAAGATATTTTTTTTCTATTTGTATGTTGCTAAAACAAAATGTACCCACGTACCCAGTAAACCTTTATTTTAGATAAAAAGGTAAGTACATTTGGCAAATAATTTTAATTGGGTTCGTCTTGGATTTTATGTAAATTTAAGTAGCCTTTTTGTTCGTAGTATTAATAACCAGGGATCATAGATCTATGGTAATTGTTGTATTGATTCAATGAAAAATAATCATAAACTAATGTCTGCCGTTTATAATAATAATAACATGCTTTCATATATCTATGTTTGCTGTTTATTGATTTAACGTATTAATCATAAACTTATGTCGAACGGTCGTTATATTAACAACCGCTGTTCATAGATCCATGCTCATAGTTTATTAATTTAACGTACAGGATTCATAAGCTAATGTAAATCTGTTTATCGTATTAATTACTGTCAAACATAGATCCATGCTCATTATTCACCAATTTAACGTACAGCAATCGTAACTTAATGAATAAGAAAATTTACGAACGACTGTTCATTGAATTAACAATACCCGTCATCGGCTGAAAATTAATGATGTCGTTTATTGATTTGATGTACT